CGGTTGGGAAGGAGACGTAAACTTCCTGTTAAATGCTCTTCCGCGGTGCTCTGTGATAAGACCGTAAGGACTTATTGGGGCACCTAAAATCAACTTTGAATCATCTTCATGCTCTGACACATAAAAAAGGGCCCTGAAAAGTCTGAATTCGCCATTGGTTTCACCTAACCTGTTTTGGTTATCTTGGTTATTTCACCTTTAAAACTGTTCAACAAATGTTTAAAATTAAATGTTTTAGACTACTTGTTAACTTTATGTTATATTGACGTAAAATGTGTTTATTAACCTTTTTTTAGTTATTATTTAGAAATAATTATTTAAGTGGTTCATTATATTTCTTTTAATACTTCTCGATATATTTCTTTGCATATCAAGAAATTGTTACTAATGTTTAATATTTTAGTTTAGCTTTTAATTTTATTTATGGCTTGCTAGATTAATGTATAAACCAATAATTACTTATGAATCTAATACAAAGTTTGCTTATTATAGAACAAGTTTTAATATGGCCATTAGGTTAGTGAGAACGAGGATGATGCTGGCTTGTCTTGTCTTTGGTATACCTAAAGAGATGTCGCAAGTTGTTTTACCAACATATGAAGATGTAATGAAACATTACTTGCTTGTAAAACATCAACTGAAACCAACAGCTGCTACGAAAGAACCTACTATAAAAGAAATCTCTGAAAAAGTTGCACAAGTTGTTGAAAAAATATGGTTAAACCGATAATTACTCATACACGGGTATTGAAGGTGATTCGCTCCTATCATAATAAATACAGAAAACTATTTCGAAACATCAAGCGCAGTAATTATGATAGCAAAGTAAACGCTTTTAAAGAAGATGCGAGACATAAATTGTTTGACATCTGCATCTGTCAGTGTGTGTTTGAGAAGTGTAACAAAACTCGCAAGGTTCCTCCTGCAGAGCAAGATTTTATCCAAGATCAGAGAACTCTCAAACTGATGTGCATTGGCAATGTTGATAAACTTGCATCAAATAAACTGGCCATGAAGTTTAAAAAAAAAAGTATTGAGCAGCGGCGTAGAAATAAGCATCGCAATGCCTTGTCTGTGTCTACGGTTGGTGATTTTGAAAGTCGATCTACAGCTCAAAGTGATGAAGATGATAATTACATTAATAAACGTAATATTTCCAATGTTTCTTCCATTGACATTATTAGTTCTTCCTATTTTCAATGTCGGCAACCACTTGCTGCATTAGCAAAGTCTGTGACCGGTATGGGATCTTAGATAGAGCCGGAGCTGTAATAGCAAATGCAGTTTTGGAAGACTTCTGTGTTGTTAATCAACAAGATACCTCTTATGTTGTTGATCCGAGTAAAATATGACGGGAGCGTAAGAGAAAGCGTAATTAACTAAAAACTTCTAAAAATTCAAAAATAGTTCGAGAAATTTATTTTAACGTCAATATTTTTGATAACTATCAAAAATATTGACGTTAAAAAGTTTGTAGCTGTTGGATCTGACGGGACTGCCGTAAACACAGGAATTAAAGGTAGCGCAATAAGGTCGATGGAAAAAGAATATAATAAATCGTGGCAATGGTTGGTTTGTCTTTTGCATGCAAACGAACTTCCTCTTCGACATCTGCTAATTTATTTAGATGGATAAACTACAGGACCAAAATTTTCTTGCCCAATTGGTAAGGCACTTATTAATTGTGAGAAATTACCACTTATTGAACTTGAAAAGACTGATGTAACTCTTCCAAAATTTGAACTTAAAGATTTAAGCACAGATCAAAAATATATGTGGGAAATGTGCGAAGCAATATCCAAAGGTGAGTGTTCACTACCCCTATCAAAAAAAACTTAAGAGGTACTAAATCACTTCCGATGGCTGACAACAGCAAATAGACTTTACGGTTGTATGTGGCGAGCAAGGATTCATTAACAAATCTGATTCATTTAGTAACTTATGTTGTAAGAGTTTATTCTCCTGTTTGGTTTAGTATTAAGATGCATCCTTCATGCAAAGATAGTGCGTGGCATTTTTTTAAACTTATTTAATAGTCCCGTTACTTATCACAGGAACAGCAAGATATAGTAGATCCTGTATTACAACTTAACGGCTATTTTGCTCATTCAGAAAATCTCTTACTAGTAATGGTTAGTGACAAATGCCAACAAATTCGTGATTTAGGATTTAGGCGCGTTCTTAAAACTCGACAGGAAAAAGATCACACACTGCATACTTTCAGTTTACCAAAACTTAACTTAGATGCACATGATTACATAGAACTCATCAACTGGAAATAAAATAATCGAGATGGTTTTATTCGATCGCGTTTACATGCACATCTCATAATGCCAGTGTTTAACACAAAGTCAGAATATCATGCTTCCGAACCAATAAATTGGTAGAGTGTAATGACAGATTTTCTAAAACTTGATTGTGTATGTTAAAATAATTAATGAATAGATATTTTTGTTTCACCCTTTAACTTGTTATAGACTTGCTGACTTACTAACTTGCTAATCTGCCACAGTGACGGAGAGAGGGAAGGAGAAGTGCAGAGGACCATGTCCCCTAATTATTTTCAAAAAAACCTTTTTTTATTTTAACAAAGTCGGTGTTTAAAGTAGTACTTATTGACATTTTAAATTTTTTTAGTGCATTGATCTCAATCCGCCCCCCTTTTCCCCACAAAAGTGTCATGCCCTGAAATATATATAACCTTAAAAGGTCATCGAAATATGTTCATATTAGATGAAAAAGAATGACATATATGTCATTCTTTTTAATTATTACAGTTTTTTCTGAAAGAATTTGACAAAAAAGTATAATCTTTAATCAAAAAAAATAATTGACTAAAACACTCAATTGTCATAAAAAATACTTCTTTTTAGTAACTTTGTCACCTATGAGGCAGCTGAAGACATTGAAATTTTTGAAAATTTTTTTTTTCAATGTTTGAACACTTACCAAAATACAACTTTTTTTTGCTATTACATATAAATATTCCACTTTTAATTTTTTCACTGCACTCTAATATACATATACACAAGCCTTCCCAGGAAAGGCGTGCGGTTTTTTGTCTTGTATGACCACAAAAACGTTTTTCAAGTTAGAGAACGTGATCACTGCCGTTTGCGCAAGTATATTATATGCGTTACTGAAAATGCAAGTATATTATATGCGTTACTGAAATTGTTGAAATTGCTGAAAATTGTTGAATGCAAGTATATTATATGTGTTACTGAAAAATTGTTTTAAATTTAATAACTACATAAGAAATTTAAGTAAACTTAAATAGAAAATAATAATAATAGTTTAAATAATTTGTGTGTTGTTTTTATTTTTGTTTTTTTCTTAGTGGTTATCATTATCGGCAACAAAATTCATTAAGTCAAAGCAACAACAACAACAAAAAAAAACAGTTTTAGGCGTTAAAAAGGATGACTTTCCCATATTTTATGTATTTTTTCTTTTAAAGAGGAAAGAGAAAATATGTATCGTCATCTGTTTGTAAAATATATTTGTATAACTATAATGTAACAAGTTTATATCAAGTGTTAAATTATACGATCGCGATTTACAAACTCTGGTAAAATATTAGGTCTTTAAAATTTTAGTTTATGCAAAGCTGTGTACTTTGTTTATAAGAAGCAAATTATTAAAAGTTTGCTAGCGAGAAAGTTACGAAAAACAAAACAAAAACAATAAACTTACGACTACAAAAGTAATTTTAACACTTTAGTCACTAACTGCATTATAAAAGTAATAAAACTATAATAGTGTTATTACATTTATTTATTTATTTATTTTTATTTATTTGAAAACAACAGAAGGACCCGAAGGCCACTAACACTGAGTATACATTAACAAAAAATTTTTTACTGAAATATTAAATTGTATCAAGTGCTGGACAAGTTAGAACAAAATTGTATTAACTTGAACAAAGCAGTACACCAAGGCGTTTCTTAAACATCAAGACAGACATTTATAAAGCACTTATTACTTTTAAAGTTCATTCTTTGTTCAAACAACATTATTAATTCCAAACATTTATTAAAGTAGAAGAGCATCTAGAAAAAATAAAGCGGATATTCAAATATTATTAAAAATTTCAGTAACTTTCACATATCACTTATAAAAAAGTACTTTATAAAAAGTATAGCATTATGAAAAACAGTTTGTAAAAAGGCGTGTTAATTTTAAAATCAACCAATAAAAATTTTTTTATTGCTTAATTTTAAAATTATTGCGCGTTTTTATGGTCCAATAGTAACGTTTTTCATAATGCTAAACTTTTAATACGATACGTTTTCATAAAGTTGTTTGTCACGTTTTTATAAGTTACTTTAGTTTTAATATTATTTGAACATTATTTAAAATAAAATATCTCATTTCAGTACCGCAGTTTTTGCTTATGTACTTATAAAATATCGAAAATTATTTTTACTGATTTAAAAAAATATTTTGAAGATAACTTTAAAAAACAAATTCAAAGCTAAGAACATTAAAATTATACAAATAAATTTTACAAACACAATGTCATTTGTATTTTTGCTATCCTCTTAAAAAAAAATTAAGAAAAGGAAAATCATTCTTATTATGGTAGACTTCAAACTGTTTTTTTTTTTTTGTGTTTCACATTATCTAATTTTGTTGCTGAATGTAACTCTAGAGAAACAAAAATAAAAACAGTACACAAATTATTTAAATTATTAATTTGTTTTTATTTTTTTCTATTTCAATCACTTTTTATTTTGTTAGTTTTGTTTTTTTGTTTTGTTTTTGAAACTTTTTCAGCATTATTATAAAACTTGCAAACGACCGTGTTCACGTTTTCTAAAATATTATAATCGCGTGTGGTCATACGAGACGAAAAACCGCACGCCTTTCCTGGGAAGGCTTGTATACATAAACATATTATACATATACACATGCATATATATATAAAGTGTGCATAATACTTTACACTGCCAACTTATATATAATAAATATAAATAGTAAAAAAAACATAAAGTCACCTGGTTCAAAATCATACATAGCTCGACAGCATGGCATCTTAGACTTCTGATTTGGTGCAGCTGGTGCAGACCTTTGCGGCGGAGTAGGTGTTGTGAGAGGTGAACTTTTTTCAACAATATCATATGCATTTAAGCTTCCACTATCATCAAATTTAGGACGAGAAATAAAGACACGATCCTCTTTTGGACGACTCGCTGCCTCTGATAAACTATAAAAACAGGCACAGAAAATAAAAATTTAACAAAATTTAAAAAAATGTAAAAAATGGTGAGCTCATTCCAGTAAGTATTAGGAACCTATGGTCAGAGAGGTACCTGGAATTTATTACAAAAATTTTTTAATTGTCAAAAAATTATTTTTTTAAAAATCTGTTTACGCAGCTCACACTTTATGTACGAAATGGCAATTTGCATTTGCATTCAGTAGTTTTACATTAAGCAAAAACCTTTTTTATTTATCAATATTTAAATTATCTTTTAATATTGTTTTTGTAACATTTATTCAGAAAATATCAACTCAAAAAAAAAAAAAAAACATTTAACAATAATATTTTTAATAACAGAACTTTTTTGTTAAAGAAACTGATTATTTTATATAATTTTTTTTTTAATTAAAGACTCTGAATTAATTATGATTGTAAACATTTTAACTTGGTTTAAAAGGAATCTAAACTCATTAGTAAAACATTGAATGAAAACTTTATTTCAAATGTATGTAAAATAGTTTTGTACTTTTAATTAAAGAGATTTTTTTCTCATCACCTTTTAACTAATTCATTACATAAAACATAAATCTATCCATTATAGATTAAAATATGTGAAAGCAAATAAAAAACTTTATTTTTTCTTTAAAAAAAAAGAAGGAATGTTTTTGTTTAAGAGAATTCTTTTCACAAATGAATTTAAATTTTTTTGTTTTTAATTAATTCAACATCCTCCTTTGGTGTATTTAATTTATGAACAAAAATTTTGTTAATGAATATCTTATTGGAAACTAGATTGTTTTAAGAAATAAATTGTAAAAAAATATATTTTTCAAATACAGAATTTTAGATTTTGTCAAAAATATTTTTTATAGTTTAAATGATTTTAAATAAATTTTAAATGCGGTTAAAAATTAAACTTAATTACAACACAGCACTTTAAAATACACAAATTTAATATGATGCAATTTAAATCTTAACAATATAAATATCAAAACAAAAATTTACAGTTATTAGGCTGCATTTTCGTTACACAATAAAATCTCAAAACAAGGCCTGAAATAAGTTGAGAAAAACATTGGTAAACTGGTAGTAGAAGTTAAAAAAATAATGCATTTGATATATGTACATTAAAGAACACTTTAATGAACAAATAAAGAACTAACTTTTCTGCAAGTTTTTTAACTAAAGCATCCATTAGGTCAGCACATTGATGGTGATAGTCGCGAACCGCCTCTGCAAAAGCATGTATTTGACCAATATGTTCAACCTATTATAAAAAAAGCATGTATTTGACCAATATGTTCAACCTATTATAAAAAAAAGCATGTACTTGACCAATATGTTTAACCTACTACCAAAGTAGAAGTACAGTCTTATGACAATTTATTATTATTTTTTGCCACCTAATATTTTTGATCATTTTGAAATTTAATCTCATTTTTTTCATATAAGAAATAAAAAATTATTATTGTAAATTAATCTTTTGTTTAAAATGATTGACTAATAAAATCAGTGCACTTTTTTATTTGCTACTGGCAACACTGTCACTTTTGACAGCCAATTTTTTATGATGTCTTCTTTTTATTGTGACTTGTTGAGTTTATTACCAGAGTTTTGAATTTGTTTTTTAAAGTTATCTTCAAAATATTTTTTTAAATCAGTAAAAATAATTTTCTATATTTTATAAGTACATAAGCAAAAACTGCGGTACTGAAACGAGATATTTTATTTTAAATATGGGGAAAAAAAGAGACTTGTTACCACAAAAAATTGCAGAAATCAGGGCACTGTCATTAAATACTAATCTTTCTCAACTAGAAATTGCCAGAAGATGTGGTATTTTGTGGGTTTCTGTGCATACATAAAAAAAGGGTAATATAATAATAGAGAACTTGATACTTGCAGTTGGTGGAAAAAAGAGAATCATAACACCACATGGGAAAAGAATACTTATCAAGATTGTTCTAGAAAATAGGCAGGCCACCAACAATGCAACAACTGAAAAGCTGGACCAATCTGGTGTGAAAGAGAACGGTTCACCTGCACAATCTTGGCTACATTTCACCACATCCAGCTCAGAAGCCTAAACTGACACAAAAGGGAGGAAATAATAAACCAGTTGCAATATAAAAAAGTTCTAGAACAAAAATTATTTCCACAATTGGCAGAATGATTTGGTTCAGGTGAAAAAAAACCTTTATGCAGGATTGGGCACCATATCACAGGGCTAAATCAATTAAAAAATATCAGAACATATTTAATTACTTGATTGGCCAGGAAACTCTCCTGACCTAAATCCTATAGAAAATATTTGGGTGTTCCTAAAGACAGAAATCTCTAAAGAGAGTATTACAATTAAGCTGTATTTAACAGAAAGAATTTTTCACCACTGAAACAATAATGAAAGATTTTTACCGCTGAAACCATGATGAAAGATTGCAACCATATTGAAAAGACAGAAAAAAGAACCAAAAGTATACTATTATAGAGGCAAAAAAAAAAAAAAACCAAATACTGACTTAGATTATATTTGTATTAATTTTTAAAGTGCCAATTTTTTGAATAAAAATTACTTTTTATTCAAAAAATTGGCAAGTTAAAAATTAATACAAATATAATTGCAAAAAGTTATGAAAATGATTGACTTTAAAACTTAAATATGTGAAAAATTGTGGGTGGTCATAATAAATTGTCACACAACTATATTTGACCAATATGTTCAACCTATTATTAAATAACATATATTTGACCAATATGTTCAACCTATTATTAAATAGTTATTAAAATAAATAAATTCTAATCATCAAAATTATTTAAGCTATTTAACACCATTTGAAAAAATCAAAAAAAAAAAAAAAAAAAAAAAAAAAAAAAAAAGAAATAATATAACAAAAACAATTTAAATATTTATATTTTATTATTTGTTAATAAGTATTAAATAATAAGTGTTGTTTTAATTTTAAAAATTATATTTGAATCAGTAAATATTAAAAGGGGAGAAGTTCAACAATGTAAACTTTCAGGAAACTAAAAAAAAAAGCATTTTCCACCATAGTAAATTTTTGTTAATGGTTTAATAACTTTTTTTTTTGAAGAGGATAATGTTTTTCATCTTCAAAAAATAAATTATTAAAACCATTAACAAAAATTACAAAAATACAGGGGAAAATGCAGTTGTTTTTAATTTCCTGCAAGTTTACTAACGCCCTTTTAACATTCAACGATTCATTTATTATAAAAAATGTATTTAATGTTATAAATTATTACATCGCTGTCAATGAAATTCATCATACTGTTGTAACACAACTCTTTCGATTCTGTGAATTTTTCTTCAGCTATGTTTAGTTCTTCCTCAGGAACTGTAATAAAAAATTCGTAAATTATAACAAAAAATAGTTTTTTATAGGCTATGCAGAAGATTTTAGTTGACAGGCTTTCATCTTTAAACATGTTTCTAAAATATCTCTATTTAATGTTGCACAGTAAAACTTGTAAATATTTTTTTAATAAACTACAAAATATTTTAATTAATAAAAGTGTTTTTATGTTTTGTAAACTAAAGTAGAAACTATTTTCAGTAAATAAAAAAATTATCATTTTTTTTAGAACTCAAATAAAAAGTATCAAACATTTAAATATTAATATTTTAATAATAAGAATGACAAAAATTCAAAATAATACCTCCTATCAGCATTGAGATGAACATAAAGAAAAAGAAAATTTTTTATTATTTATAAAGAAAAAAAAAAAAGTTAGGTATAAACTAGAATGGTTAAATTAACAGAACACTAATATAAACAGAATACTTAAAATATGCAATTAACAAATTACATATTGTAAATTGAAAATTATAGTAAAGGATAATAAACAACAGTAATGCATTATAATAATGATAATTATAGTAATGATTTAATGGAATAAAACATAATAATGAGTTTTGCGGGCTAACATAATATGTAATTTACAGATGGATTATAGAATTATTGAGCAAAAAAACTTTTTTTGCTCTTTGTTCATGTTTGTACAATTGTGTGGTTTAGATAGATTTCCATAATACAAAAATATTTTTTACGTTAGTGATATTATTAAAGAGTTATTGCAATATTTAGAACCAGATACCCTACCTTTCACTAACCTGTAACCTGTTAACTATAACAATAATGATTACCATTTAGAATATACAAGCACTCTTACCACCCTGTCTAGAACATATATATTTAAAAAATGATTGGGCCAAGAATGCTTGCTTGTATCACACCTGATAACGCATCTTTTCATTCAGTAAACTTGTTGTTGAATATGACTTGTTGTTTACAGTTTGAAAGCCACTTTGCAATCTAGGATAATAATCATCAGGGCAGATGATATATTGGATGATAACCATTATAGGCAGCCATGTTTATGCATGACAATAGTGTGGTCAGCATGCTCAATTGATATTTCAAAATCAAAGAATATTGCAATTAGTAAGGTATTGTGGTCAACTTATGGTCTTGAGTCTTGTTGAAGGTCAGATGCACAGAAAACTGTGATCACGTAAAATTTAAAGACAATTTGGTTGAAATTAAATTCATGGTAGCAGCATATCTTCTCCTTTACATTTATGGCCGATGATTGCAGCTTTGATTAAATTCAATAAGTTAAAGAAATCAATTGGATAATTAACAGCTTGTTCTTTATCTGTGTCAAAAGATTTGTACTTGACAAATTTGCAGATTAATTTAAATTAAATTTGAAAAAATAAACTTTCTGCTCAACATTTTAATGACTGGATTTGCAAAACGTAAAAATTTAATGATAAACTTGAATATACTTGATGATAAACTTGAATAAAAAAGTACAAACACTAATCAAAATCACCACCGAATTACACAAAAAATATTTTTTACTATATAAGATTTTGAATAATTTATAATTCAATGATCAACATGAACAATACGATAACCACAAATGATCAAAACTTTCTGGCAAGAATGTCAGATTACTTTTTTTGTGTTGACATTCTGTATTATGCACCAAATTTATTTTAATGTGGCTAAAATAAAATAAATGTGAAGCGCAAACTACATAAATTATGTTTTCAATTTATTTGCAAGAAAAGCCACTCTTTTATGAGTTTATGGATTAAGGGGATAAAGGGATTCCTAAGTTAAAAATTGCAATTAAACAAAGAATTAAAAAAAGATCTTCTACTTTGAATTATTTTTATTGCCATTAGAATATTTCATTTACTGTGAAATCAAACTTATTTGCACTATTTTTTTATTTATTTTTTTATAAAATACATTTTTTAATAAAAATATGTATTTTATTTTTTAAGTCCAAAAAAAAAAAATACATATTTTTATTTAATTTAATAATTTGTTGTAATTTTTTTTTTTTTTTTTACTTATATATTATCTTGTAGTATTATACTCTTAGAGATTTTTTAAAATTAATTTTTGAATTACCAATTAATCTTTAACCATTTTGTTTTTCAAACAACTATTACTACCAAGAATTATGCCCATTTGTTTTTTTGATTTTAAAAATGTATATATTACAATAAATTTAAAATACCAAATTAAAAGTAAAATAATAATAATAATGATAATAATAATAATAATAATAGCAATAATAATAATAGCAATAATAATAATAATAATAATAATAATAATAATAAAAGAATTAACCAAAAGAAAATCAAATTAAAATAAAATTGAAAAATAAACAAATTAAAAAATACTGAGAATTTAAAATAAAATTTAAATTTAAAATCTGCAAAAATAAAAAGATTTGTAAAACATAAATAAAATGAAAAGTAATAACCTTTGGCTCCTTTACTCTTTTTATAATCAAAATCCAAACGTCGACTTTCTAACTTTTTGCGATGATGCTGATAGGATCACAAAAACATTAATTGTTATTGACTATACATGTATATTAAAGACAAATATGTCAACAACAATAAAAAAACATACATTTATTTCCTTTAAATCTTTTTGCTGCAGTTGGTAAAGAGGATCCAAAAAATTTTGTTTTACACTAAACTCCTGGAATAAACAGAAACAAAATAAATAACAAAAACAATTGCCAAGAAAAGTTTTATTATGTGATAGAGGTCCTATGATCAAAACCTACTACATAACAGGTGTTAAAGCAATCAACTTGTTTCTTTGTAGAGGTGGAAATTAACAAATTACATTTATTTACATATTTTTTTAAATGTGTATTTTCACTTTTACTTTTTAAGTATTTATTGTTTCTAAAGTATTGTACTTCGCTACATTTGAAATCATATGCGTTACTCAGTAAAAAAATTTATTAGGTTTAGTTTAATTTCACAAATACTATGATTTAATTTTTTTTTTAGTTGATAAAATATAGCGCATGTTTTATACTTCTTTAGCGCATGTTTTATTGATGAAAACTATAAGGAACTTCGAGAAACCTTATAGTTTTCAACAATGTTTTAAAAGAAGTTATGAAGACATCAAACACGTGTATCGCTGCCGTTTCGAATTTATAATCATTCTTTAATAATTCTTATTAGAATTTTAAAAGAAAATTGAAATCAAATTTTTTACAATGTTTAAATTTTGTAAATTAAACTAGGTACAAAATGTAAACATAGTAAAGTACAGGTACTATAAAAAACATGAAAACAAGAAGTTGTTATTTTCAATTAATTATATAATTATAGTTATTTATATAATAATGCCTTATTTTAGCAAGATGGAAGAAATGACATGCTTTAACTGATGAAATGAATATTATCTAATTGACATATTTTAAAATCGTATAATTTGAATTAATAAACGCACACTTATAAATACCAGTTAAATAAAATAGTTATAAATATATATAGTTTTTTTTTTTTTTTTTTAGTTTTGTTCACTTTAATCAAGATGACACTTAAATTGTTTAAAAAAAATTGTTGAGTACGCTCATGACAACTTTTAACTGCTTAGCTTGGTTTCTTTTCACTTTTTACGACTATAAAAAAAAATTTCAGTGCAAAAAAAATTTTTAAATCTTTAATCAAACTTTTTTAATAAAAAAATCCAACAAACTCGATGTTCGTTTTCTGTCGATTTGAAGTAATGAGTAAAGAAATAATGGAGTTGGACAAATCAGATGCAAACCCAGCTGAATTGTGATTGCAATCAACTTCTTTTGAAGCAAACCCGTGGCCATATTTAAGCAACAACTTTGACTTTGAGTGCAAGAAGAGCAACAGAAATCCCAGCAAAATAAGGAAAAATAAATGACATGTTTGCTATGGGTGCAAACAAACGTTTGTCAAAGAAAAAGGTTAACAAGCTCATTATCCAATTTATTTGTAATGGTCTTCATCCATTTTCTTTGGTTGAACAATTTGGTTTTAAAAAACTTTTACATGCATTAAATCCGCATTGCAAATTTATATCCAGACCATCTCTTCGGATTAGAATTAATGATGCTGCCATTCAGTTAAGAATTGATGATGCTGCCATTCAGACTTTGCTCTCAATCCTCAGCAAAGTCAGGTATGTTGCAACAACTACTGATTGCTGGTCTGCACACGAGCAAAGTTTCATAGGGGTAACAGCTCATTGGATTGATGAGGAAGCCAGAGATTGAGAGGGTCACACACTTTTGATGACCTGGCAGGCACTCTTGATGACATTCATTGTAAATAAAAAATAAGAGGAAGAGTGGTGAGAACCACAACAGACAGTGGCTCAAACTTTATCAAATCATTTAGTGTTTTTGGTGAGTAAAGCCCAAATCAGGAAGCAGAGTCAGAATCAGAACAAGATTCTAGCCAAGAATCCGAATCGGAGTACCTTGACACATTTGACATCCTGGAAAAGGATAGTGGTCTTGAGTACCAGCTTCCTCCACATCAAAGGTGTGCATGCCACGTTAAATTTAGTCGCCACAACTGATGCTGCCTTGGCAGAAAAAAACAATGACACATACAAAAGGCTATCACTAGCTGCCTTTGGAAAATGCCAAGCAATGTGGAACAAGACAGCAAGCTCCAGCTCAACAGGCCAAATCAGACTATGTGAAACTTGACATACATGGCTGTGGAGAGAATCTTAAGGATCATACAAGAAAAAGGCCCCGATGCTATCAGAAATGTGTGTGAAGAATTCAAAGTAAAAATGTGAGTTTTTTATATAATTTATTCAGTGTAATCAAATAAGTATAAAATAATACTGATTGAAATAATTACTTGAAGTTCTTCTTGTTGTATTTTTTAAATATTTATTCCACACCTCTTCGTGAAATAAATTTCTAAAAATTTTCATTTCTTGTGGGTCCTACAGGTTGAATCCAGTTAAAATTGTTTTCCTGAAGGAATATTGCGCTTGTATGAAACCTGTTGTTAAAGCAAAGAACATTCCTCAGTCTGAGATCAACACACATGGGATGGCTCTTGCCAGTGATCTTTTAGTTTCAAACAAAATTCTGCCCTTCAAACAAAATTGCTGCCCTGAGACATCTTTCAAAATGTGTTTGCCCCTTATTAAAGCAATTCAGGATGGTGTGCAAAAACATTTTGGTAGAATGATGTAAGACCCAGAACTGATTGCTGCAGCAATTCTTCTGCCAAAGTTAAAGAACACTGATAAAGAAGACTGATTATAGAAACGGGTGTGATTTCCTTTTTAAATGTCATAGTGTAATCTGTTTTGTCTACTTTTTTACTACTTAATCATCCATTGTTGTTTAAGTACAGTAAAATGAATCTTTGCATTGCTAAAAATATAATATGTATTGTTTTGTTTTTGAACAGGTCTGGTCTATGTGAGATAACACATTGACCAGATGGCCAAAGTGGAGCAGGTTGAGCAACATTCATCAGATGAAAAAGATTTCTTCTCATCAATGAAATCGAGAAGATCGCAAGGTATAGGGGAGGTTGATGGGTACCTTGCTTGCAGTTCAAACAAAATGGATTTGTTGAACTCATTTCCACACATCAAAAACCTTTCTCTTAAACTGAACACTGGCCTTCCTACCTCTTCTGCCTGTGAGTGTCTATTCAGCGGTACTGGACTTATTCACTGCAAAGCTGGCAAGAATAAAATAAGCCAACTTTGAAAATCAACTGCTTTTCAAACTTAACAAAAAGTTTATAGTTTAAATTTATATAGAAAAGAATAGGCTACGATATTTTTGTTTTTTTTATTCGACAGCTTTGTTAAAAGACAGGCTGTTAAAAAAGTAATACAGTAACTTTTACTTTGAGTACATTTTTAATGAGCTTCATTTTACTTTTACTCAAGTAAATTTTCCACTGGTAACTTTTACTTGTATTTGAGTGAAATTTCACTCAAGTAACAATACTTTTACTTTAGTACAATTTTTTTTTTTCCACCTCCACCAGTTTTTTTGAGAAGGAGCTTTGATTATTAAAATCTGGAAAATTAGAGTTTCTGGCTAAAGATGCAACCTTACAAAGACGCAACCTTACAAAGATGCAACCTTACAAAGATGCAACCTTACAAAGATGCAACCTTACAAAGATGCAATTTAAAATTTAAACAACTACCTAAAAAATACAGCTATCAAAGTTTTAGTATAGTGATGTAATATAGTGGGATTTAAGCAATATTGAGTGTTGTTGATTGGTTGATCATGAATATGATATGATAGCGTGGTAGTAAGTTTGTTTTACTTAGTAAAGTTGCAATCAGAAATATTGTTAAAGTATTTGTAAACATAATAAAACTGATTATAAACTTAAAAATATATTTACAAATGTAACTAACCAATGAATCTTTAATTTCAGCAATTTGTGTAAATGTGTTACCACAAGCCATTAGTGATTGAGCTGCAAGAATAACAAATAAACCACTATGATATAAAAATAAACACACACAAATTAAGTATTTGACATTTTTTATAACTTTATCTTTGTGTCATTTTTCCCTAAAACATAGGGTTAATGCTAATTTTTTGGTGAATTTATTTCACAAATAGTAGTTTCATTATATGAATATTTATTTTTATTATATAAATATATATAAATATAAGTTTTGACAATATAAATAATTTGTATTATCTGTTTAACCAAAAAATATGCTTTATAACCACTGATAATAATGCTAACTAAAATTTACTTGATCACACTAAAATGACAACCTAAACACTGGTCTTAGTGTGAACATACAGAACATTATTAAGTAAATACAATAATGTTATAGTTGGTTCTAAGTTTTAATATTTTCAATATTAAGACTTATAATCAAAAATATCTTACAGATTATGACAATTTTTATTTTTATTTTTATTTTTAATAACTGCTTAAAAACACTTTTTTTTTTTTTTTACTGTGTTCACCCTCCATTTTGTTTTTCGATTGTTGTTACAAGCACTTTTATTTTAGATAAATTATGAACAAGACTTCTACACAAAAAAAAAAGCTGATCACCAGGAATGTGGTAGGGATCAAACTTAACACTTCTCGCACAAGTATTTCATCAAAAGTATAAAATTTTTCTTTGGAATTAAATGTCAAAAAAAAATTTTATTAAACTTTTATATCTGAATGAAGATAATGGCATACCTAAAGTAACAGCCACATTATAAAACATACCTAAAGTAGCAGCCACCTTATAAAACATACTTAAAGTAGCAGTCACATTATAAAACATACCTAAAATAGCAGTTTCATAAGGATTTGTTATGCTAAAATAAAACAGAGCTAAAACTGCTATAAATTAGCTGAATCACCATAAACAATGTCTCATAATTGTATCTTGTATTGAGGAATACTACTTTTCTAAACCTATGTTTAAATATTTTTACAATAAAACATTTTTTCAGAACACTTGCCAGTTAGCTTATTAGAAGCGTTTCAATATGCCACAAAAACATAGTCGTTAAATATAAACAAATTAATCATAATTCAAACTTGAATAATTTTTAAACACAAAAAGAAAAAACTCAAATAACTACAGATTATAACAAAAAAAAAAAATTTTTGAAAGTCCTTACAATACGGCAGCTCATCATTCAAGTCAGCACCAGCTTTTAAAAAGACATCCGCGAGATTTTGCTCAACCTGTGGATACTTAGCAGATTTTGTTTGACCTCTAGCTTTTTGATAGGATGCCTGGACAGCAAGCTTTGTGCGAGCACCTGAATATTTTAAAGTAAGTTCAAATTTCAGAAACCATATTAAATAAATAATTTTTTAAATTCTCAATAATGATATTTAATATATATCAATAATTTTAATAACAATAACTGGTGATAACTAAGGATAACTATTAAAAAACTAAAATAGTATAAACAGATTTTTTTATAATATTAAAGAGTTTTCTCAAATTTGCTAGTGATGTTGGGTTCTGTTTTTGCTTCTAATTTTACCCAACAGTTTTAAATGATGTTTAAACCAGGTGATTAGGCTAAGTTATGAGACTAAATCATTAATTATATTTTCTTGGAGCCATGTCCTGATAGGTTTTGCCTGATAGCAGATTTTTTTTAAATTTCTAAGCAATTTGTGGAATGACATCTTGCTGAATGAATCTCATCTTGCTGTGAAAAGCGTAGACCAGCATAATTGCCATGAGTGATTGTATCTCAAATTATAACAGATTTCTTGTTATAATATATAAAGTTTTTTAATTCCATGAGTATGAGTTGCATATGCAGTTTGGTGGCCAGCAAAAATTGAATATGTGCAACAAACTGCCTAACTTGCGATTCCTCTGAGAACATTATGTCACTACATAATGTATATATATATATATATATACATATATATATATATATATATATATATATATATATATATATATATATATATATATATATATATATATATATATATATATATATATATATATATATATATATATATATATATATATATATATATTGTTTAAATAAAAAACAATATTATTAATTATACTTAAAGTTTTGTGCCATAAAAAAAAAATTTAATGGGCAAGCGGTCTTTGTAATGCAGTTGCAAGTTCCTGTATACAAATTTTTATCTCTGTGCGAAATCTTGTGATAAAGTGAACTAATTATGGATTTTATGTTTTCCATACAGCTAACTTAGTTTGAATTTCTATTGAACATTTTGTGAAAATTATGGCTGGGAAGAACAATCAATGCTAGTGAACAACTGCTGACTTTTGTTTCCACATTCTAAGGGTTGTGACTTTTTTGCTTTTGATTTTTGTCAAGTTAACTTTTTGTCAAGACTTTTAGTCAAGGTAACTTGAGGTTGGTATTTCAGTTTATAATTACAGCCAGAGTTTTTTTAATGCTTCTTGGAAAGGTGGGATAGCATTATAGAAAACAGATTCATTTACTGACGTGGCAGATGATCTCAATTCAACTATGCAAGGGAGTCTTTTGATAACACTAGGTGGATGGTTTGAATCAGAACATAATTAAGCTCATTGAACATAATTAAGCTCATTATTGCATTTACAGTATGGTTAAAAAAAATTTTTATCATGCAAGGGAGTCTTTTGATAACACTAGGTGGATAGTTTGAATCAGAACATAATTAAGCTCATTGAACATAATTAAGCTCATTATTGCAATTACAGTATGGTTAAAAAGATTTTTTATCAAAATCAAATGTCATGTTGCTTAGTTATAGCTTTACATAATGTAATTTTTTTTTGTATATAAATAAGTCTAATGGAAAAAACTTTATATTTTACCTGATGATTGCGAATAGCATGAAACTATTAGTATATATTTTAAACTATATATTTTATTTAGTATATATTATTATAATAAAATATAATAATTATCTAAAATGTAATAATAATCTTTGTATATAATATATTATATACAAAGAATTAAACAACAAATTAAATAAAAAAAGAAAATTACTTGGATTTGGTTGTAGATATTCTCGAGATTTATTATGAAGATCATCTACAGCTTTTGTTACAATATCTATTTTCTAAATAAAAACACAACAAACAAGTAAACTTTATAAAGATCATCTACAGCTTTTGTTACAATAACTATTTTCTAAATAAAAACACAACAAACAAGTAAACTTTATGAAGATCATCTACAGCTTTTGTTACAATATCTATTTTCTAAATAAAAACACAACAAACAAGTAAACTTTATGAAGATCATCTACAGCTTTTGTTACAATATCTATTTTCTAAATAAAAACACAACAAACAAGTAAACTTTATGAAGATCATCTACAGCTTTTGTTACAATAACTATTTTCTAAATAAAAACACAACAAACAAGTAAACTTTATGAAGATCATCTACAGCTTTTGTTACAATATCTATTTTCTAAATAAAAACACAACAAACAAGTAAACTTTATGAAGATCATCTACAGCTTTTGTTACAATATCTATTTTCTAAATAAAAACACAACAAACAAGTAAACTTTATGAAGATCGTCTACAGCTTTTGTTACAATATCTATTTTCTAAATAAAAACACAACAAACAAGTAAACTTTATGAAGATCATCTACAGCTTTTGTTACAATAACTATTTTCTAAATAAAAACACAACAAACAAGTAAACTTTATGAAGATCATCTACAGCTTTTGTTACAATATCTATTTTCTAAATAAAAACACAACAAACAAGTAAACTTTATGAAGATCATCTACAACTTTTGTTACAATATCTATTTTCTAAATAAAAACACAACAAACAAGTAAACTTTATGAAGATCGTCTACAGCTTTTGTTACAATATCTATTTTCTAAATAAAAACACAACAAACAAGTAAACTTTATGAAGATCGTCTACAGCTTTTGTTAAAATATCTATTTTCTAAATAAAAACACAACAAACAAGTAAACTTTATGAAGATCGTCTACAGCTTTTGTTACAATATCTATTTTCTAAATAAAAACACAACAAACAAGTAAACTTTATGAAGATCGTCTACAGCTTTTGTTACAATATCTATTTTCTAAATAAAAACACAACAAACAAGTAAACTTTTTTTGAACACACAGAGTAAATAAATATTAAATATATAAACAAAAGCAAGTATGAAAAAACTGCAAATATTAGAACTTTAATTGTAGATTTTAATCTTTAACATGGAATTAAAGTACGTACCTCAAAGTTTCTTAAGGTTTGAGTTTTCAAGTTAAACAGTAAAAAATACATTTTCTTACACAATTTAGTCTAAGAAATGCATATCTTAATGAGGCTTTGCAAGGCATAAAAAATCAAATCATCACAAATTTCTTTGGATTCAACAATAAAAAATCCTGAACCACCTATAGTTCATCTTTTCAATAAAAGCATAGCTATCTTAATCAATGACATATACCTAGATATGCATATATACAAATACACTATTAACCTTGTTATGCTTTTAGATACTTTACAACAAACTCTATATCTAGTAGAGACTATATCTAGTAGTTTTAAAATCAATTCTAGTCTCTATAATAAAGCCTATTTTTAATGTTCATGGTTTCTTACTTGCATAATTCACAATTACAAAAGGTTTTTAATAATGCTGTTTCTTTAATTAATACATGATATTAAGAAAGGATTAATTATAATTACAAATAAAGTTAATTACAATTATAACCTTATGGCGCCTTCTTGGCATTAACCTGTTTTGAACACTAGGACTGAGTATTTTTCTGATAGAAGCATATAGAAGTATTTGGGTTTTATATTGAGCTTTCCATCTCTATGTTTAGTTGGTTTCAAAATGGTGAAGAAGCATAACCTGCTCTTTAGAGTTTTAGGCAGGATTTTTTGATGTTTTAAATATGAAGCTTTCAGATATTGTGCATAAGGCTGGCGCAAAGGGGTATGTGGTTTGTATGAGACCCTCCAATCAATAACTTTTTTGCCCATTTAGCCTGCATATTTGACTTTTTTGCTCATTTAGTCTGCATATTTAGACAAGTCAATTGGCAAATTTTACCAATTTAAACATGTGTGTCGCCAAATGTAAACCCTTTAAACAAGTTAGTCAGCAAGTTTTAAAAAACAAAGACCTTTTTTTAATTATTGTTATATTACAATTATTTAACTTGTTTCAATATTAACAATCTGCTCAAGTTTTTTACTCAGTGCCTCTTCTTTGTATGATTCAGTATAGTTTTCAATAGCTCGATAACTTTTAGATGAGAAACTTTTAGATGAGAAACTTTTAGTTGATTTTTAAATATTTTTGCTAACCTTAAAGGGACTACCAAGTTCCGAGACATGTGTTCATATTAAAGAGAATGTTAAAAAAAAACATCTGAGCAAATTTTTTTTGCTTAAAACTAATTAATAAATGTATACCAAGAAAAACAAATTTTGTTGTTTTAGTCGAAGCTTGTCTTCTCCATTTTATGCGGTATTTGGAGTCTGTAAAATAAACGCGATTTTCCAGGCGCATTATACAGACTTGATAATTTATTCAAGTGGGTTTAATTCATAGAAGTTTTAGTACATGACCTCATTGAAAACATTCTAGAAATTCTTTAAAAATTTTACCATTAAATTTTACTAAAATAAATAACTATAGTTAGTTATTTTATTTTCTAAAATCTTCACATTGAAAAAAACTTTTTTTGTAGCTATCAGAGCTGTGGCTACATAAACCACGGCGATGGTGGACCTAGGGACCCCTATGGCGCCAAATCGAGTTATATAATATCTCCGATGATTCACGAGTGTATTCTTTACATTTTGATGCAAGTTGTTTCGACAAATCTAACAAACAATTAATTAAACCAAGCACTAGGAAAAAATATAAAAAATAAGAATATACTAATAAAATATATCATTTGTAATTAACTTTCAAAAATTTGACAATTTAAAAAATATATATTATAAAACATTTATTTTTGTAAACAAATGATAATAGTTTAAAAGATTTACGGCTTTACAGATGTGGCTCCGAGAATGAGCCATAGTATGAAAGTAATAGTTCATTTGATAATATATTCTTAAAAAAATTTATGCAAGATATCTTAAAATGCAACAAATTATAAATAATACAACTACTTAAACATTTCAACAGAATATTCTAGAACTTTATTTCGCTTAGTCAGCATATTTTTTGAACCAATAGAATTAGTTTGTTTGTAAATTTGGCGGGTTTTTAGTGTTCGCGAAGATTCTTTTTATTCTTCCGCAAGATGTTTTAAGAACATTCAAGTTAATTATGTTTCCATGTATGTCCGTAAAATAAAAATTAATATATATTAAGTTTTTAATTTTTAAGCCCCCACCATAATATATATTGGATGTTATAATAATGGAAATATAAATAATGAAATAAGATCACCTCAATACCAAAAAATACATTTTTGAAAATCAGAGAAAAAATGCATTAATAATTTTTTTTTTTAATATTTACAAAGTAAATTAATAAAAGTGCATTATTATTTAGGTAAAAAATCATTTTATCTAATATTTTGAAAGAAAAACTTATAACAAAAGAAATCAAAATACACATGGTCTAGACGATTATTTAAAAAAAGTTGCGCAAATAAAATACTATTTTGTTTTTAATTTTTTTACAAACACATTTTAGAACTTTAAAATATAATAAAAATGAATATGATTTGGAAATTGCATGAAAAAAATAATAATCGGTGTTTTAAACAAACAAACAAAAAAATTTATGATGTCATGTACTAAAACTTCTATGAATTAAACGCACTTGAATAAATTATAAAGTCTGTATAGTGCGATTTTTCAGACGCACTATAAAGTCTGTATAGCGTACCTGGAAAATCGCGTTTATTTTACAGACTCCAAATACCGCAGAAAATGGAGAAGACAAGCTTCGACTAAAACAACAAGATTTGTTTTTCTTGGCATACATTTATTAATTAGTTTTAATCAAAAAAAATTTGCTCAGATGTTTTTTTTTTAACATTCTCTTTAATATGAACACAACATGTCTCGGGACTTGGTAGCCCCTTTAACTGTTTATATCAATGCACAGGAATGCATGAAAACTAATTGCTGTTTATTTGAAAAAAAAAATTTTTAAGTTTTTCATGTAAAATAATAAATAATATATTTAACTGTTTTCACTACCCCCATTAAAAAAGTCTGCACTTTCGTTGGATTCTCCAAATTGTGCATTTAAACCCAATAGTTTACTTCCTGATGAACTTTTGTTATCCACGTTCCAAAAGCTTGTGGGCTAGTGCATTGTTAATTTACCATTTTAAACAAAATTTTTAGGAGTCTATTTAAAACATTTTTTTAAGTTTTTTAATACATTTTTTAAACAGAGCAATCATGTTCATTATTTCAAGTATTATGTTTTAATGGTGAAAATTGAGCAATACAAATTTTACAATATTAATTTTTGTCTGAAAGGATTTCAGACAAAAAAAAAATATTTTAAATACATTTATAAAAGAAAACATGGTATTCTTTTATTCTATAATTTCTTCCATCATTATAAAATTTATTAATCAAATAACATATTTTACAAATAAATAGCAATTTCTTTTCTAATTTTCCTTTAATATAAGTATTAAGAAAAAACATCTAATATAGCATATAATGGAAGAATTATAATATGTTGGAAGATTTAGAATTTGGAAAATGGAAGAATTATATATATGTTTTTCTCCTTGACTTGTATCAAATTTTGTAGATAAAAATAACAACCCCCATGAAAAAAATAACAACCACCATGAAAAAAATATTGTATAAAAAATTTTTTTTTTTAATATTGTATAAAAGTTGTATAAAAATTGAATTAAAAAATTTTTTTGCTTAAAAAAATTAAATTAAATTTTTTTGCTTAAAAAATTAAATTAAATTTTTTTTTATTATTATTATTCTTTTTTTTAATTATTAAATTTTCTAGTTTATCAAATTAAATAAAAAAATTAAAATTTGATATTTCGTTACAATTTTGTTCCATTGTTTTAGTATTAATTTCTTTTTTCTCAGTAGATAAGTTTAGCTTTTTGCCAAAAATTATTGAAACGCTTTAAAATTTAAAAAACGCAACTGCTGCGGTTAGTTTTTCTAAATAAATTACTTTAAACATGGGAAGCTTGTACTTTACCAGCAAACTTTAACATGGGAAGCTTGTACTTTACCAGCAAACTTAGATTACTAAAAGTTAATAAGTTTTCATATTAAAGAAATTTTTAATTTCTTTAATATGAAAACATATTTTAATGTTTATTATTTATTATTTATTAATATGCAAAGATTTTTATAACTTTCCTGACATAAAATAGCTAGTAAAAATGTAAATAATATATAAAGTTTTTTAATAATAAGAATAAATAAAAAACAATAATTTATTTAATAAAATTGAAAAATCTAAACTAGAGAGTTTATTCAACATAACTGACAATAACTAACAATAACTGACATCAGTTCAAAAATATAGTTTATTCAACATAACTGACAATAACTAACAATAACTGACATCAGTTCAAAAATATAGTTTATTTAACATAACGGACAATAACTAACAATAACTGACATCAGTTCAAAAATATAGTTTATTCAACATAACGGACAATAACTAACAATAACTGACATCAGTTCAAAAATATAGTTTATTCAACATTTGAATGAATGATTTTGCTTATTAATAAAAATACTTTTTTCACATTAAAAAAAAATTTGATTAACTTAATTTTTTTTTTTTTTTTTATCATGCCTGCTAATTACGTTTTCTATGTGTCTAGCGTAACAAATTAAATCTGAGTTCTGTATAGGTTTTTTGTTTTTTTTTTTCACTGTGATCTTTTGGAATTTTAAACTTATTGGAAATATAGGACCTTTTGGAATTTTAAACTTATTGGGAATTCTACATTATACACAGTGCCATCAGGCTGGCTAACACCCTGCTGACATATTTTGCATAGACTTTTTGTATGTTGTATATATACTTAATGGTAGAAGCTACTATTATACAACAAAAATGGTAAAAGCAAAACTGCTACGAGCATACATTTTATATCAAGGTTTGAGTTATATACTTTAAATTCTACCATAGAATTCTATTCTCTAAAATTAATTAAACTTTAAATTCTAACTTTTAAATGCAATTTATAAAGTCTTTAAATGTGATATATGCTTAAAAACTATTGGATACTTACTATCAAATCTTTTTAGCAATTATGGCAAATGCAGATTTTCTTGGTTTAGGTAAGAAAGAAAATGAAAGATGATTGAAAGAAATGAAAGAAAAGAAAGAAATGAAATGAAAGAAAATTATTTTCAGCAAGCATAAAGTCGACATGATCCAGGTTCTAGTACTTTTTTAAAAACAGTTTTGAAGTAGATAGAGCAGCTGTGGCGCAGTGGTTAGAGTTCTGGCTCAGAACCCAGAGGTTCGAGGTTCGACGCCAGCTCCAACCCAACAAGTGACATTGGTATGGAAGGAGGCGTGAACTTCTTGTTAAATGCTCTACTGCGGTGCTCTATGATAAGACCCTAAGGATTTCTGGGAGCACCTAAATACATACAAAAAAAAAAAAAAAAAAAAAGTATCACTTTCGGGAGGTAACGGAAAAAGATTACAGTTAAGCAGACACTTATTTTCTATTTGAATTTCAAACTCTTTAAAAAAACTGTTAAAATTATTCAAAACCTCTGAAAAAATGGTTATCAGATTTTTCCTCCAAGAACTAATAAAGCTATCATTAGAGAATCTTTAAACTCCCTTAGACCTCCTAGAAGTACTGCACCCATAAATAAAACAATTAGCAGCTGGAATCGGTAGTACCAATGTCAGACATAAAGTTAGTAGGGTGATTACTATTATAAAGGTGGTTACTGTTAGTAGAGTGGTTACTGTTATTGAAAACAGATATTATTAGCATCAAAATGACGCTAGGATGACATTAATTATATACATAAATAAATATAAGATATAATTACTAATAATAAAGTGAGTTTAAGTGAATTAACTAAAAAAAAAAATTTTTTTGCCTTTGTAATAATTTATAAAATTATTATCGAACTTTTATAAAATAAATATAACATTATAAGCAGTGTAAATTTTAGTTCTGGTTTGCAAAACAGATTATGGCCTGGAAGACTATCTAGTGGATTAATATTGCTATAACTTTTAATACTGTAAATAAGAAATGGCACTATGGAAACTTCTCTAAATTACAAGTATGAAACCATAGACATTTAACTTAAAAGAAAAATTGTAACTCTAACCACACTGTTATGGTTAAAAGAGGAAAAACAGTAACGTCACACAAAATTAAATAAATGATCACACATTAAAAAACTTCAACTATATAGAATTACCCTTTCTAGTTCCTTGAATTCTTCTTCAAGCTGAGAACCTTTGGTTCCAGCAACTCTTTCACTCAAAAACTAAAAAAAAAAAATATTATTAAATAAGCAAAGCAACATTATTGTAAATTATAAATTCTTTACAAACACACAAAGTACTATCTATTAATTTTTTATTTAAATTCTTTTCAGCTTTGTTAAAAAATTTTTTTTAATTATTACTTGTTTAAGTACATGACCTAAAATGCTAAATTAAAATAGGTAAAATGTAAACAGCCCTATTTTTACCAACTTTCATATGCACTGGTCATTGCAAATGCACTAATGCACATTTTTTTAGAATGTCAATATAGTTTCTGTATGCTGACACAGAGACAAAAGTTTCTTATAAAGCTTATGTGAGTTAAAAAAAATCAAAACTTGGTTAAACTTTTATTACTTTTTAAATGAAGTTGTTAACGCTTATATTTTATGCAGTACTTTTTATTATTCCCAGACTTTCAATCATTTTAGTTAAAGATGTCAAATTTAAAAAAAAAAATTTCTACCAGTTTTTTTTTATTTTGGTTTAGAAATCACACCAAACAAAATTTTTTGAAAATTTCATAAATCAAACAAAATAAAAATTTCCTTAAAAAAACCTTAGAAATAAATTTGTAATATTATCATTATAGTTAGTTTTATTAAATTGTTTTTACAAATTTTTTTTTAATTCAACTAACTTACTCTTAATGTGGTTGCAAGCAACCACTCTGAGAGTTACTGGGAAATCAAAAAGTATTGTTTGTAAGCAACAAAAGTATTGTTTGTAAGCAACAAAAGTATTGTTTGTAAGCAACAAAAAAGTATTGTTTGTAAGCAACAAAAGTATTGTTTGTAAGCAACAAAAAAAAAAGCTGTAAAGCTTGAAAGTCTGAAAAACATGAAAATAGGAAAGAGTTCCGAAGCATTTATGTGCAAGGAAAAAAATTAGTTTATTCAGCATGGAAAATAAAAAAGTGAAGGGGAGCGGTCAATTAGACCAGTTAACACATGAAATTAACGGTCAAATTTTTTTCGGACTGTCAAATTTTTTACTTTTAGACAGTCAAAAATTTTATCTTAGTATTAGTTCTTGATGAATGATCTTTATAAACACAAAAATAACTTAGTGCTTAAAAATTACCGAATTTATGTTCCTTTTAAAATAATAGTTTTAAATAAAATCAATGCATTTTTTAAAATAGAAACTTCCAAAAAACAAACGGTCTAACTACTCTACTAACGCTCTAAACTAATGCTTTGAAAAATTCTTGCGCGCTTAGATTTTCATTCAATTAAAAAAAGTTTGATAACATCCAAGAAATTACATAAATGTTACAATAATTGATATTATCAAAAAAGTAAAAAAACATTACAAACTTTAAACAACATCTTATAAAAAGTTTTTTTTTTAAAAAAAAAAAAAAAACTTCTATTATGGATATAACTCTATTATTAATTTTTTAACTTGAAGCAATATAACTCCTGCAATGACTTTGTTTTTATTATAATTTTATTTTGCAAAAAATAATAGTTTAGAAAAATAATACATTATAATAGTTACATCAGCTTTATATAACTAAGAGATTGTGCAATATCAAAAAAAAAGGAAAACAGAAATCCCCTTATAATTTAGAAAGAATTTTGAATAAAAAATTTAAATTTAAAAAAATTAGCTTTTATTTTTATCACTTTTTTGTCTTCTTTTTTTATTTTTTACAAAAAAATAAATTCCTTGTTAACATGTTATAACTTATAACACTGCATCAAAAATACTCATAAAGCATACATTTAACTTTTTTGCCTTAAGACAAGTGAAAGCACAATGGTATGTATTTTTTAATAAATGGTACTTGGAAACTTAAATCTTTGTCACAAAAAAAGCATTGGTAAAGTAACTAACTTGAGTTTTTTTTCCTTTGCAACAAGTAATATTTTTTGTTTGTTAATAATTTTTTAAAAGTAAAAAACATTATTTGCAAAGTCAAATTTTAGATATATTCGATAATTTAATTCATTTGTACAAATATTGAGATAAGAAATAATTTAATTTATGTTAAATGATAATAAAAAATGTAATATTAAATTTAATTATTTAATATTAAAAAAAAAAAAATTATTGAAACAAAATAGATACTGCCCAATATGTAAAGTTAGAAAATAACACTTCTAGATTTGTTTTTCTTAATTAGTAAAATAAACTTGTTTTCCAGTAATATATTTTATTGTGGTAGTTAAAAAAGTTAGTCCTTAAATTAAAAAAAAATTAAAAACAATTTTATGACATCAAAATCACAATCCACAGCTGTTTCAATCAATATAAAAGCAAGCTTGACGTCACATATTTTTGTGTTTATCAAAAAAAAAAAAAAAAAGTATTTCCGCAAAAAAAGTTTAAAAATGCACTAATTTAAAATAATAGTGTTTTTTTCCTATAAGCATTTCATCTTCAAATAAAAAAAATATAAAAGACCTATCTTTTTTTTTAAACAAATATTTACATTAAAATCTTAAAATATTTAAGATTTCATAACATAGCTACATGCCTCATGGTTGAAATTTGGAACATTTATAAATAAATGTCTATTCTATCTAATTTTTGGTGCGGATTGCTTATTTTTTATTTTTTAACTATTTTTAAATACATTTATATTTTTAATTTTATTATTAAATTATGAAAATCGTATTATTTTTGTAATCCACACCAAATTATTGAAATTTTAACCCTTTCTGCATATAGAGATCAAAAAATTGTTTGCTGTACCTATTGCTATATTATGAAATATGTTTTCAAACTTGGCTATTTTAGAAACAAATTTTTCTAGTTTGATGCGCAAAACATTGTTTACATTTCAAAACAATCACGCGACCTTAAATTCTGTACATCCCAAGCAGATATGTAATAAATTTTATGAAACTTTTAACTTTCTTAGTGAGACGAATTTTGAAGTATAAAATAAACAAAGTTAGGCAGTTTTTTCTTTAGAATGGTGCATAAGTCTATTATCAACTGGGTGTTCAAAGATCGTTTTCTACTTAAAGAACTTATTAGTGGATCAACTCATTATAAAAAGTTTTTTATGAGAATAAAAACATATCAATTATCATCAACATTATCATACAATTTAAATTAGCTATATTTATATTTAAAGAAAGTTTTATTTTTTGTGAGAAGAGATTGACTCAAATACCATAAAATAATTCTATTACCAAAAGCGAGGTTAATTCAAAAACTTCAACTTAGTTTTCGTCATGAACTATTTTATTAGAGTCTATTTATTAACAACCATATTATTAAAACTTTTTAAAAACATATTAACACCATATTATTAAAACTGTATGCATAGAAAAGAATTACTTAAGTTTTTTAAAGGCTTTAACTTAAAATGTTAAGACTAAATAATTCAAAATTGAAATCTGGTTTTATTTTTTAATGCATTGAATTTATCAACTTAGTAAATTATTTTCTAAAACAAGAACTTCTAGATTTAAAAATGTGCTAATTTAACAGCTAATCCCCCCTTTAACAACATTTTTCATAATTTTGCAAAAAATGCGGTTTGCTTGCAGACTTCAATAAAGACTGTTTCAGTTTACCTTTAACAAATAAGCAAGATTTTTTTATTTTAATAATAGTTAAACAATGAATGTCTTTGATAATATCTATCAGAAATATATTTTTCTGATTTTTTTTTGATGAAAAGTAACAACAAATTACTAAAATTTAACCAAGTTCATCATTTGTCGCGCTTTTTGTACACTAAAAGAAGTTTTTTTACTACTGTATTAAATGTCGTATGATAAAATATTTTACTGTTGTTTTTATTCCTTTTACAAAACAAAATTATCTCTAATATTTCAAAAGTTATAAATGTTTTAGTAACACCCCTTAAGTCAAAATTTTCAAAAAAAAACAAGAAGCCGTAAAGCTCACTCTAAAACAGCCTGGTGAATTGCACGCCTCGCAAGGCTTGGAATTGCAGCGTGAATTGCACGCCTCGCAAGGCTTGGAAGAATACCTTGCAAGGCTTGGAGTAATTTAATGAAATTGAAAAAATTGAAAAATGAAAGCAATGATTGCTTCTTTTTATTCGCCTCTATTGAGATGAGTTGACGTTTGAGGATTTTATTACAATTCAATAATAGAAAGAAATAAAAAGTTGTAAATGCACAATTGATAATTTTAAATTTATTTAAAAATAATTCATTCATTACAATGGCTTCTCATCGGCCTAAAAAAAACTACAAAAAAAATCAATGAAAAGATAAAAAAATTTTAAAAAAAAGGGCCAGATGGAAGAGAAAATTTTCTTACTTATGTACAAAGATTTTAACAGGCCTTCTCAGGAGACGCGTGCGGTCGCACGCCTTGAATGACCACGCATATATATTTTTTTGTTGATAACATGGCCACAATTTTTTTTTGCATTTATTAAAAATGACGCATTTTAAAAACGCGCTGAAAAAATCAAACTAATTAGTCATCTTATTGGTTTTTTTTTATTAATAAAAATTTTTTATTACAATTATTTATGAGAAAATTAAAACCTAACAATAATGCACATATATATATTTGTAATTAATGATAAAATAAAAAGATAAAAATAATATATAAATATATATACTTTTATTTGTTTTGATGCATTTAATAAAATTCTGGAAATTTTTTGTAAAGTTTGTATTTACTAAATGAATTATGTCATTAAGTAATTATTATTTCTTCCTGTTGGCTTGACAAGGTTTTAACTGAAACTTTTTATATAAGGAGAATTAAAAAAAAAATTTTTTTTTTATGTATTTAAATTATTTATTTTACTGTTTTTTTTTTGTTTTTTTATGTACTATTATTTTGGTGGACATATAGATGTTTAGAAAAGATTTAAATATTTAAAAATTTAACTTAGCAGCAAAGCCGGCGCGATAGGGGTGTGTGTGTGTGTGTGTGTGGGGGGGGGTGACTTCCCCTCATCAATGATTTTTTTAGTCGGCAAATTTGACCCTTAGTCGGCAAATGTGACCCTTTTTGACTAGTTAGTCGGCAAATGTAGACTCTGTCGATAGGTTAGTCGATTAAGTCAGTCGACAAATGTTGTTATGGCAGTCGGTAAATTTAATCTTATAAAAATAAAGCAATACGCATAAACGTAAAAAGTGTAAATAGAAACTTCAACAAACCAATTACTCAATTAAGTAATAATAAAGATGTAAAACTAAAATATTTTTCTGAAGTTACTCTTGGTCTTGCGAAAAAATTATTTCCAGTTTGATAACTTTCATGAAAGTTATGAAAAATCACTCAGGAAGAGAGCCACCAGTTTTTAAAAAATTTCTTTGTTAATTATTTTTAATGAATGAGTTTAATACTTATGCAATTCTTTTGTTACATAACTCTAACTCTTAATAATAGATTAAAAATAAATCATGATAACCGCTCGATAATGTAAGTGATGTAATTTAAGTAAAAAATACAGTATCAAAAAAACAAGTTTATTTTAAAAAAGTTTTTATAAAAATTATAAATTGGTATAGAATTATCTGCATTTTGTAAAAGTTTCTAATACAAACTGATTTACTGATTCGCAGAAATGAGACCTATAAGTTGAATTTTTTTTTTTTACCTTGTTTTCCGTGTAACATCAGTCCAAGTGGCATTTTTAGTAATAAGTTTGCTTTCTTTCGGCCGAACACAAAACTTTTAAGCTTATTTTATTTATTAGACTAACAGCTTTTATACAAAATTGCTAAAAGTTTAATTTAAAAGTTTAAATAAGCTAATATTTGGTAAAGTTATTGCGCGTGTAACGTAAGTTAAAAATGGAAATGCCTATATATGTTATTTTAATATTTCTATTTTCTCATTAATAACTATAATAATGAATTATTAATAATAATTAAAAAAAGATGAGCAATTAATTTTGTTTTTTCAGCGCGTTTTTAAGATGCGTCATTTTTAATAAATGCAAAAAAAATCATGGTCATGTTATCAACAAAAAAATATATATGCGTAGTCATTCAAGGTGTGCGACCGCACGCGTCTCCTGAGAAGGCCTTTTTTAAATAATAATTTTATATACTTAGGTCGTTAGGAAAGTTCGTAGAACTCCTCTATAAAGAAAAAAATAAAAGAGATTTTTTTTATTTTTATCTATACAAAGTTGCATTCTTTCAAGCCATTTGTGAAATGTTTTTTTATTCTCTTCTTCAGGTATCCTTTCAAGTAGCTTCGTTATGCAGTTTTTTTGGCTTTTGACATCAGTATTGTTATCAAGATATTTTTTTATTAAGTCGAATAGCCAATAATCGGATAAAGCTATATCTGGTGAGTATGGTGTGTGGCAAATTATTGTAATTCCAGCTTGGTTTAGACAATTTGTGACTGTTTCAGTTGCATGGGGTCGAGCGTTATCATGAAGAAATTTGAAATTGTGAGTTTTTGCATATTTATTTCGCATATAAGTTTCAAACAATTTTTTATATAATACTCGCTAGTAATGTTGTCTCCCTTTTCAACATAACCCAAATGAATAACACCTGTTATTTAGAAGAAGATGTAGAACTTGCTTTTTGGCTAAAACCTATCGCATCTTACTATAGTTTATAGACTTTCACCTTCACCGACCCAACTAGTGTTAGCTGACTTGTGTCCAACTTGAGTGTTAGCTGACTTGTGTCCAACTTGTCTCAAATAGAACCACAACTCATCCACTGTAACAATATCACATAGCCTCCATGGGCCATTTCTAAAAAGAGCTAAAATTTCTTTACATACCTCAATTCTATTGTTTTAATTTTGATCGGCTAGCTTGTGGGTTATCCAACGTGATGTTAGTTTTCTTTTTTTAAGTGCATTGTGAATGATTTTGTTGATTGTAAAACGATCAATCGATGTCAGGGCTTTAATTATATCATGTGTTGCATGTGGATTTTCTTCAATAACGGCTCACACATGTTCAATATTCTCAGGCTGTACACGTATTCAATATTCACACTGTAAACGTGGTTTGAAGGTGCCCTGAGCGAAGATCATCTTCAAGATTCTCTCTACCATCTTTAAATAAAGTAGCCCACTTGGTAACTGTACTATATTTTGGAGCTTGGTCACCATGAACTAAAACCAATTTATCGGTTGTGGCTTGTGCTGAAACTCCAAATAGAGCATGGGTTTTAATGTATGCTGGATATTCAAGTTTTTCCATTTTTAAATTTTTTCTTTCAAACGTATATAATAAAATTTAAATAACTTTTTTAATAAACTTTCAAAATATTTCAACAAATACTTAAAACGTTCATAATTAAACACAGTTAAAGATGATATATAAATATTTAATTATTTCCTGTCTTATTGTAACTTTATAGATGAAGTTCTACGAACTTCTCTAATGACCAAAGTATAATACTTTTTATATATAATAGTTTTAATGCTTTAGTAAATAACTTATATTTATTATAGATTTTTTTAATTATTTAAGACATTGATTTTAGATAACACTGCTTAGAAAATTACATTTTTAAACTAAAAATTAAAAATATGAAATTTTTACAAAAAAATTTTATTATAAATTTTTCTTCTCAATGTTTTTTATAAAATGATGATTACTTTTAAAATTTTTATATAATTTCGTTTCTTTTGAGACTCAACATGAACTATTTTTTTGATAATTATAGGGACCTGTCTGATGTTCAAGGGTCTTGAGCTACCCCTAAAAATTTTATTTTTCAAAAAAATTTTAATTCTAGTATTATTTTATTATATAGAACACATTTAGAGCAATTGGATAATTTGTAAAATAAGAATTGAAGTCATTAAATAATAACAAAAAGCAAATTCTGACTTAACATTTTAAGTAATTTTTATAAATGAGTCCATTGACAGAAAGATCAAAAAAGTTTATGATGTTCAGAATATTTGCAGGAAAGGTTAACAAAAAAGGAAGAAATTGAAAACATACTTATGTCAGGACTGCTTGATTTAACTGCAAGTGTGCAAATTTATTCACATTTGCAACATGGGAATAAATCAACATTCCTTTGATAAAATTGTAATTAATTAATAAAATTAAAAAGTTTAAAGAAAAGATGAATACATAAATAAGATTTTTAAAAAATTTCAAGAAAATAAAATGTAATTGAACAAAGTATATAAAATAATGTGATCTGAAAATGAAATGCAGAAGCTAACATTTTATTATGAAAATTGAAAAGTACAAGATACCTTATTCAGGGGCTATTCTAGACCATTTTCAACAGCGCCAACCGTAATTAAAAATTGAGGACTTTTTTTTTTACAGCAAATATTGTTTTTTATATGCCGATTCTCAGCAATATTTCTGCTAAATTTCTCTGGGATATGGGGGGGTGGGGGGGAAGGGTACCACCGCCCTAGAGTTTTTTCCAAGAATAGCCCCTATTATTGTACATTATACTTTAGTTTTAATATCGATACTTTTATTGACTAAAGTATCACAAGGTGAAATTTTTAACAAATCAAATCTAGTTTGACATTTTTTAAGGTTTTTACTCTTTTTTTAACTTTTTTAAACAAACTGATTTTAAACCAAAAAAATTGATTCATTTTTTTTTTCGAAACCACTATATAGTAATGATAATAACAAAAACTTTATTCTTAAAAAACATTTTTCCTGGGTGTTCAAAGAGTAATATTCTTGTTTAGTAAATATTATAAGCAAAAGTCAGTTTATAGAAATAATTTGAGAAAAGGTTTTAAAGCATTTAAAGCATACAAAAAAACTTTTGAAAACAAATACCTAAAATAAATACTTTTATTTTAGGTATTTGTTGAACAATAACAACTCTCAGAACTTTAAACAGCTTTTTTTTATTATTTCTATTATTATTGTAGATTCAGAGTAGTATTAGATGTCCAATTTTTTACAGGTTTCAAGTTTATTTAAATTCAGTTTTAAAAGTTGCTAATGGTACCTAATTAAATTTTATACTAAATCATATTTTTACACTAAATCTATTCCAAATCAAGTGGTTGGACATAAAGTGTGCAGGAAAACAAAATATTACAATGCTATTTTGTGATAATAATATATGAAATCCACAACTGTCAAGCTTTTATAAGTAATGTTGTTATCTAAAATACACTTGAATGGTACTTAAAAAATAAAATTTGTGATACAATAGAGTTGCACTAGAGTGTAAATGTTTGTTTTTTATACTTAAGTGATAAAGTTTAAAATACTTAAAACCATTTTTAATAAATATTTACAAATGACATAGTATTTGCAAAATTTATTAAAATCTTAAATAAAATAGTTTTACTTAGGGTTACGTAAGTAACAAATGGTTATATCCACTGCTAAATTCATAAATTCAAAGAAATACCTAATAAAATTTTCTTAAAAATTGACGCATTTTATATGTTTAATTTAAAGCCATTATTAATTTAAACACTTTATTCTAGTTATATTTTTATCAAATTATTAAAAAAATATTGTTTTATTTTATAATGATCATTTAAACATACCAGAATCTATATTCAAAAAAAAATTATTTTAAAGAGATCATTTTTGTGTAACCTTATTGAAGTTCAAAATATATTTATCAATTTTAATCAAGGATGCTATACACAAACACACACACACACACACACATAAAATATACAATTAAAATAGTAAAATTGAACCTGGCTAGTTTTATTAAACTGCTTTTTCAGACCTGCAAGTGACATATTTCAGTTCTTATTCTAAAAAAAAATATTGTATCATAATTTTTTAATAAAAAAAATATTTTACTATTATTTGATTACTATAATACATAAATAATATATACTATATAAATGTTTCATTATATATTAGCAGAGGTGCCAGCGTCGCTGGGTACCGGCAAAACAAATCAAAGTTGCTGGTGTACAAACCACCCTCCAAAAATCAATTACTTGACCAAAAAACTCTCAATCCTGGGTACTATAAAAAAACTGCCGCAGAGCTTCTTGGTACACAACACTAAAAGTTCTTCCATCCAGGGATTTTATATACACCGTACACACATCTTATATATATATATATATATATATATATATATATATATATATATATATATATATATATATATATATATATATATATATATATATATTCATACATAATACTCATTTGAAAGAACAATACCCCTGTACCAAGTTGATCACCACAAAATAAAAGAATCAAAAATGAACTAGTTACCACCAAAAAATTTCCTTACCCGTTCCCTGCAGCAACATGCAAAGAGCAAACCAACCCCCGAACTGACTCCCAAAACTGCAACCTCGCAAATGATATGTTCACCTCAGCAACCCAGTAAAAACTGAGCTATGTGCGATCTCCAGTGATCCAACTACATCCCCATGGAAGGCTCCAGACAGAGCCAAAGAGCACCATGGAACACTCTGGAAAGCCCCCAAATGCTCTGGAAGGTGATAGAACAGTCACACTATGCACTATGGAACATTCCGGAAAACTTTGGACCACTCCGGAAAACTCTGGCCCACTCCGAAAAAACATGGAACATTCCAGAAAACTCTGGAAAACAACAAAACAGGCAGCAGCAATCCATTGAACACAACAGAAACCGATAAAAATCACATCATAGGAAATGCTCAACCTGTCCCCCAGACCATTCTGACCTCCAGCGACCCCTGAGGTCACACCCGAGGTCATCTGCACCCTACTTCCATGGGCAAGGAACAAATCTGCACTTCATAAGGACACTTTATATGCCCCTGACCCAAAAATGACCATTTGAAAGCCCCCACGACCCCGGGCAGCCTCCAGTGACCTCAGAGGTCAACTTGACATGTCACTCCCTGGGTCATAGGAATCATCCATGCTAATTTCAAGTTTCTAGGATCAACAGTCTGGTTGTTAACTGGGAACAAACAATCAAGCAATCAATCAGAATTGACAAATATTTATAAGATATTCTAGAACAACTTGTTTATGAATGCACTGTAATAAATTCAAATTTAAACTGTCAGTTAATATGTATCAAAACCGAAATAATAATTATTAGTGAAATAAATAAAAATTTAAAAATTATAATTATCTTTTATAAAAAAAATTGACTTTTTTTATTTTTAGTTAAAAAAGAATAAAAATATATATATTAAATATTGAATGTAGTTAAATGTAATAAATGAAAATAATAATGTTTATTGTGTCAATATATAACAATAAAACCAATAAATATAAAATTGAGGAAGATAAAATTATCTAAGAAGTTTTTATACAGGACTGCTCCAACCATGATAACCTTTAAGCATACCAAAATAAAAAGAATTTCAGTAAATTTCAGTATTAATTATCCTATTTAAATCTGAAACTAAAGTTCAATTTAGTTGCTTAAATAAAGAATTTTTAAATATTTCTCAAAAAAACAGATCCCTGCGTGTTATTTTTTTTTTTTTTTATGACTAAAAAACCTGAAAAAACCTAAAAACTAAAAAAAAAAAAAAAAAAAATATATATATATATATATATATATATATATATATATATATATATATATATATATATATATATATATATATATATATATATATATATATATATATATATATATATATATATATGCAGGACTCAGCGGGAATAAACAAGCACAAGAACGAAGAAAAGCTCTCCTAAATTGAACTTGGGGAGCTGTGCAAGTTGCTCCTTATTTAAATGTGCGCTATTTTTTAACTTTAATTTTTTTTTTGTTGCAATAATCATGCCTTTTAAAAAGCATTGCAGTATATTATGCATTTAATTTTTTTTTTAATGTTAAAATGATACTTTTACTAGAGCCATAAATTGCTTCCCTAAACTGTTTTAGGGGAGTGTGGGCAAGAGCTAAAGCTCTTGCTTTCCGCCAAGGCCTGTATATACATATATTCCGGCCAAGGCCTGTATATATATACATATATATATATATATATATATATATATATATATATATATATATATATATATATATATATAATACATACATATATATATATATACATATATATATATATATATATATATATATATATATATATATATATATATATATATATATATATATATATATATATATATATATATATATATATATGTATATATATATATATATATGTATATATATATATATATACATATATATATATATATATACAATATATAACATATATAAATGTTATATATACAATATCAATTATGTTATATATACAATATAATATAAGGCCTGTATATATATACATATATATATATATATATATATATATATATATATATATATATATATATATATATATATATATATATATATATATATTTATGTTACATATACACATATACATGTTATATATACAATATTAATTATGTTATATATACAATATAATATAAGGCCTGTATATATATATATATATATATATATATATATATATATATATATATATATATATATATATATATATATATATATATATATATATAGTATATATATATATATATATTATATGTATTATATTATATTATATTATAACATGTATATATGTTATATATTGTATATATATAATATATATACAATATATAACATATATACATGTTATATATACAATATCAATTATGTTATATATACAATATAATATAAGGCCTGTATATATATATACATATATATATATATATATATATATATATATATATATATATATATATATATATATATATATATATATATATATATATATACTTGTTATATATACACATATACATGTTATATATACAATATTAATTATGTTATATATACAATATAATATAAGGCCTGTATATATATATATATATATATATATATATATATATATATATATATATATATATATATATATATATATATATATATATATATATATATACATATATATATATATATATATATATATATACATATATATATATATATATATATATATATATATATATATATATATATATATATATATATATATATATATATATATACATATACAATATATAACATATATACAATATATAACATACATGTTTATGTTATATATACAAATATAGCAAAATTTTTAACTTTTTACATATTTTGTTATGATTGAAAAGGTACTTAATTGCACTCAACTAAAAAACATCATAGTTAGATACAAATTAGTATAATGATAATTTTATAACATAAATAAAACATAAAATATTTTGCTTTATTTATTATAAAAAAAAATTGTTTTATTGGATATATTCTATAATGCATAAACTGGACATACATATTCATTTAAGATTGAAAAACTAAAAAAAAAATTTTAGTTTTAATAAAGTTATTCAACTAAAGTCATCCATATGCATTATATACTTACAAGTAATGAGAATCTTTAAATATGCGATTTAAATGTGCGATTAAAACTGCGGAAATTAGGCAGATACTTATATAATCTTTGTTTATATATAAAGTACTTTAAAATTTTTTAATATAAAACTAAATTAAATGGTTCATCAGAATATTTATTTCTTCGATGGGTATTTTATTCTCACACAGAGGCGCTGAATCAATTTATGTATATTTATGTACACGAGATAACAAAACTTTGTATTCAAATTATAAAAAATGCGGAATGCATATATTATTGAAATCTTATGGGGTTGCTTTTTCAAACAATGCTATTATAAAATGAGTTGCAAATTATCAATGAGCGATTTTTTACGCTCAAAATAGATTTAGCCAAATCATTAACGATTTTAATTTTATTTAAGACGTAGTGATCTTTTTTTTTTTATAAATATTTTCTAATTGAGAAAATATATATTTAGAAAAGCAATCAATTTTGAAAAATCATTTTGAAATATTTTCCCGGAGTAGGTGAATAGGTTTGGTTTTTAAAACTATGCTCAATTTGAGTCATATTTTTAACAACTAAATCTATTCACCTACTCCGGGAAAATATTTCAAAATGGTTTTTTAAAATTAGAGCTATTTAGAATTTAAAAACTCTCAGGAAAGAAAGTTATGATATAATTTCGATTTTTTTGCATGCCTTTTTATAAGCAAAGTCACAGATTAATGTATCAAAGTCTATATATTTGCAATGTCAGACTTAATACTTAGTCTAGCCGATAAAAAACTACAAGCTCTTCAATAACATTATCCATTATCACATAAAAAATTTTCCTTCGGAATTGGAGTCTGCCACGCAATTGTGTAGAGAAGAAAAATACATCCCCTTCCTCGTAAAACTTTAATCCGGGCCCTTAAATTTATTTTATTCACCCCCTCCTTTATACTTGACAAAAAATTATGCATGAAAACAATTACTTTTTTCATAAACACAATTTTGATTTAATGAAATAGAAACTAGTTTGTTACAATATGTATGTCTAGCATGTTGAAAATCGTGCTTTTTGGACAGAAACCAGAAATATTTTTGGATGTCCATAAAGTAACAGGGATAGCTGACAGACCAGTGAAACTTTTTTTTCCTTTAAGTATGATTCAGGCCCAAACAGTTGTTAGCATTTTGATTTTACTGTGACGTCACCTATTGCAGAAAAAATTGTAAAAAAAAAAGATTAAAAATGTGTAAAAGAGTGAGTATGAAAAACTTTACAAAACTGTAGCATAATAAATTTGATTAAACTGTGATGTTACAGAATATTCACCTAATGTTAGCTAATATATTTTGATTGATTTCAAGTTTGTAGGAAAGTATTTCCAATATTAAGGTGAATTGGGACAGTTTGGGTAGTTGTCTATTTTGCCAAGAACTCAGGAAAAAAGCGGAAATTGTATTTAGGCCAAGCTAAGGACATTGAAGAACACCTTGGAACTTTTCTGCGTCCTTCAAAAAACAGAAATGATTCTCACTTTGTTTTTCCTCAAATTGAGGACAAATCACTGTTTAGCTGCTTTCAAATAAAAGGATAGTCAGATCAACAAACTCTTAAAAGTAGAAATGTTTACATTTCAATGTAGACTCTAAGGGCTGGTTACAATTCCCATTTTCTTAATACCAAAGACAATGTCTTAAAAAAGCTTAGTTATCCTATTTTGCTTAACGTAACAACATCTTAATAAAGTTGTATATTGTTTTATTTGTATAAATTAATATATTTTGTCTTGATCAGGGCTGTGGTGTTGGAGTCAGAGTTGTAGAGTCGGAGTTGCGACATTTTTAGCGAACCATAATTCGATTCAATAGATCAGATAGCAGAAAATAGCTTACGGTTTATTATGAACATTTTAACCATTAACTCCTGTTAGTAGCTATGAATTTTAATATTGCATATTGCAATATAACATGCAATATTGCATATAAAAATATTAAAGAGTATTTGACTAAATAACTATATTAAGTTGTTTTGAATGAATTTCTTGTAGAAAAAATAAAAGCCATGTCTTACAATTTAATCAGATGCTATTTGATGGTAATATAATGTAAAAAATTTTATTTAGTTATTTTTTTATTTCATTTTGTCAATGTATTTAAGAAGGTTTCAAGAGCAAATAAAAATTCTTTTAACAGAAACTTTTTTTTTTCTGTTTTAACAAATGATAGTCCTTTTGGCATGTTTTGCACTTTTTTAGCACTTTTTTTTGTATATTGGCAGTAGTTTGTATTTTAGGAAATGTTGAGATATTTACGCTATGCATAAGCCAATTCAAACCACGCTCCAAATCAATACTTTTTGTCTATAAAATGAAAATAGCACATGTAACAATAAAACAATTATAATAAAAATTGTTGATATTACATAGTAGAAAACTCATGTAATCTTTATTTTAAAAATAGTGATTGAATATAACAGTAATCGGTAACGTTTTCAGGTTTAAGTAGCAAAAAACTAATAAAATATAAACTAAAACTGCCATAGATTCTTTACCAGTAAACGAATCCTACTGAAAATTTATCCAGAGTTTGTTGTGGCCATATGTTACATTTGCATCAATTTTTATCAAATTAAATATAATGGTTCTAATTCTACATGTGTTTTTATTGTCGTACTATAAAGTCAGATTTCACTTAATTTGAACATTCAAATTAAATTAGTTTCCGTGAACAAAATAAAAAGGTTTCAAATTTTACACCGCAGGGTACCTTGATGTGTACGCTATCACCCCACATTGTGGCTTTTTTGGGTCAACTAGGTTGGCATTATCAGGATCCGTGCTGACAGTGTTATATTTAATTTGTATTAAATTTAGTTGTTCAAAGAATTTATAAATGACGTCATTTTATGATATTAGTATTTTGCCGAACGATGAAATAATGGATTGGAATACTGTCCCTCCAAACAAAAACCCTCAGTCGATGTTTGTTCACTTGCGCCTATCCTTAAATCAGTTGTTGTAGGTACACTCTACTGCGCCTATCTCTAAACCAGTCGACATATGTAAACTCATTACTTTTATCCCTAAATAGTAAGATGATTGGCAAATTACTAAAGTTGTCAAAATCATTGCGAATTTACAAACAGGTAAGTTAAAATAAAAATAGTGACAAATGAAGAGTGCCTTGAGTATTCTTGAGTATTTGCATAGTGCCTTTAGAATGTAGTAGACTTTATAATAATAAAAACCAGGATGTTGCCAATTGATTAAAAATAATAAAAATACATCATTATACACAGAGATGATCTACAGACTTATTCAAATCGTCGTGGGCATATAATATCAATAATAGAGTTTCAAATCTATATATTTAATTATATTTTCTGTATATTCCAAATCTATTATATAATAATACCGATAGTAGTTTCAAATTTTATGATAAATTTTCATTTTTTCTGTAGTGCGCGTTTTTATTTTTAAAATTTGTTGCATCAATTTTTTTTTAAAGTTAATTTGACCAGAAGAATTTGTTATTCGGTTCCACGATTTTCCAAGAAGTTTTAGGATTTGAAATAAAAAAATTTTAAATCCTCGTTTTTAAAGTGATTCTTTGAACATATAGTTTTAGTAAAAAAAAAAAGATCAAAATAATTTTGCCCACCATGTCTACATCGGTGCGGCCGCTTATTAACTTTTTACTTACAATTTTTTTTATAAGAAAATTTAGATCGTTTTCAAAAAAAAAAACGATTTTTTTACTTGTGGTTTTTTAATGCAATTAAGTTGCGCTTGCTTAAAGTACCCGAATAAAAAGTTTTATTTTTTAAAACGAAGAGTTTAGTGCTAAACTTGCGTAGCGATATCATGTTAACACACAAAAACTTACAACTTGTGTTTTTATTTTAAATTAATACCTTATATACAAACAAAAAAAATAATTATTTTTATATTTGAAAATTTTTAATTAAAAAAAAATTAGAAAAAGCAAAGCTTTTCAAATTTCAGTTATCAGTCGAGGTTTTGATTGTGAATAATAAAATTTAATCAACTACTGTTTAACAAACGGAACTTTGGTCTACCACCCGTTGCTCAATAGAATTTTGCTTCGTCACTAATTATGCAAAAACATTTTGACAACTAATAGATTTTTGAGCTGCCGTCAGTAGATGAACAATAAAATTTAAATAGCATTGAATTTAAACTTTACACGTTGGTTTGAACTACGTTTCCATTCAAAAGTAAACTTGATACCCAACCTGCAAAATCGATAGTATTCTTTTCTGCTTCAGCTTTGAGCATCCACGGATGTTCCTTAAACAGCAATGATAACGTTGTTTTATTATATGTTATAAAGATAGATTATGTATTTCAGAAAAATTAAAAAGAGTTATAAAATGTTAAAATAAAAATCAACATTAACAATTTAACAAAAATATTTACCATTAGTTCTTTTACATCTGGTCTTTCGTTAGGATTCTTTTTTAAACTAAAAAAAATGTATTTTTTCATTTTACACTGTGCCAAAAAAAGTTTTAATGATATTCTATTCAGTTATTATTGCTTTGTTCTTTTAAGAACATTGAGCACTCTATTTTGTAGAATATATTTAAAATTATTCATATATATACATAAGCGATTTTACGGAGGGGGGAAGGGTTGTAAAATTGTCTATGTATATATATGAATATATAAAGAGGCGATTTTGAATACATCCCTAAGAAAGCGATTTTGAAGTTATAGTCGGTTTTTTTTAAGAATTTAGTCGGCTAGTCGAGTATTTGACATAATTCAGTTGGCTAAATTTTAACTTTGAGGATCTTTTTTTTTTTAACGAAACCAGTCGGTACTTTTAAAGGTTTCCACCCCTCACTTTATTTGTAGAATCGCCTCTGTATATACATATGTATGTATGTATGTATGTATGTATGTATGTATGTATGTATGTATGTATGTATGTATGTATGTATGTATGTATGTGTATATATATATACATATATATATATATATATATATATATATATATATATATATATATATATATATATATATATATATATATATATATATATATATATATATATATATATATATATATATATATAACTTAGATAAGTTAGATAAATGTTTTTTTACTGTTTAAGACTTGATTTTTTTTTTTAATTTTACAAAGAGAAATAGTTTTCCTGGCGGTATATTTTATTGAAATTGCCACCATTTGTTTTTATCAATCAAGATGTCTACTGATGGTTACTATTTAGTTCTCAAGCGCCTCTATATAAGTGTGTTAGTTCGGCTTGTATAAATGTTACACACACCTACTCTTTAAAAAAAGAAAGCAAGTAACTTTTAGGAATGAAAATAAATTTGAAGTAATAAATAGAAAAACTTATGTTAAAAGATTTATATCTGAAAAATTTAGTAATTTAGTCAAGCTCTGAATAAGATCCATAAATAGCCTAAGCAATAAAATCTTAAAGCATCTACTTTTTTAAAGTACTGTATGTATGTACGCATATGTATATCCTGATGAGAATTATAAGGAAGTTATAATATGTAGGAATCATCAGGAAGCCTCCTGAAGATTATAATCGGAATCTTCCATAAGGAAGATGTAGAAACCTCCTTATGATTCTAAAAAAAGAAGTAACTAACATTATATTTACAACATTTTTTAACAATTATTAAAAACAAAATTGAAAGCAAAATTGAAATGCTACTGCACCATGTGAGTAAGTGAATGATGTTTTTCGCCCAATTCCTTACAAATTGTGTCCAAAAGGATCAGAGTTTTTTTTAGCAAAAATCCATTAATTTCATGTTGCATGGCCGCTATACATACTAATTGTAGATATTATAGATAATTAAGACTACTCGAAGCATTGAAAGAAACCCCAAAAATTTGAAAATAAAAACTTCAAAAAATCTAAAAATCTAAAAGATAAAGTTGATTTTCAGTTAAGTAACCAGAAATTCAAACCAAAAAGAGATCTAGCTAGAAAATCCAAGACCACATGATTACATCCAAAAAGTTGTTGGAGTTAAAGCATTTCATAATAAAACTTACCTTAGCCAGTGAAAAAAGAAACTTGTCCCACATAGGTTTAATATGGGTTCCCATGAATCCCACACGAAACCCACATAAAAACCCATCTTTTTTTTTTTCAATGGGTAAAAGAGCTTTAATGGAAAAATTAAAGAAAATTTAAACTTGAAACTCCAAAAAATTGGCAAAAAAATGATAGATAAAATATATTCATAATTGAAGACGATAAAACATATTACAAGCCAGATTTTTTGCTGGTCAACAATTTTATCATAAGAACAATGATAAACCTGTCAATATTCCTTTTTTAGCAAAAATTTGCAGCTGTGATATGAAGTCCTCTAATACCATCAATAAAAAGACCTTGACTGTTAATCTTTACATTAAAAAAAATGCCTCCAAAAAGCTTTTGTTATTTATAAAAGAAAAACATTATAGCTGATGTCTCTATTGACCTAAATTTTTTTGTTATTATTATAAGAAGGCTCTCCATCAGATTAAAGATAATGTGAAAAATTTTCCTAAAGATGCGAATCCTCCTGAGAGATGCGAATCCTCCTGAGAGATGCGAATCCTCCTGAGAGATGCGAATCCTCCTAACCTGAAGAGTGGAAGATTTTAGAGAAAACCTTCTTAAAACAGACAACAAATTAAAAAAATAACAAAAATGCAATCAATAGTGACAAGAAAAAGTGAAATGCAAAAATGATGGTACCAATCTGCTCAAAAACTTCAACTCTAGAAAAGCGACTCATCAGGCCCATTAAAATTAATCTACGTTTTTTAAAACTACTGTACACATATTTAATTTAAGTTGTCTGTGCTGTGTTGCTAAATAAAGTGCTTTAATAAGTAAAAAGACAATAAAAAGATAGGCTTCATCAACTTGCATCTCTGGTCACTATAACATTTTGTTTAATGTTGTTTTTTACATATTAAAAATATGTTGAAGATAGGATTACATGTTTAATGAATGTTTGATCCATGTAAATAAACAAAATTTAATACAATATTTAGACATTTTGACATGATTTTTTTTTAGTTAACTCACCTTGCCAAAAAGGCCACTACAGTCAGGGAGGCTACTTTAATTGTGGCTACAACACTCTCTCTACTCTATAACTCCAAAACACAAACCTTGACAAACTAAGCTACTGCACAGAGAAATAAGTTGAGCACGTTACCTCCAAGGATTTGGTTGGGATCTAACTTTGTGAGTATTATTCCCCAAATTTAATGTCATATAAACAAGAAACAAAACAAGAAACAAAAAAACAAAACAAAAAAAAAATCTTACCATTTATTGACAAAATCACAAAAATCATTTGAAAAATACTGACTTGGTAATTTAGGTGGCTCCTACAGAAAATAACAGTATTACAACAACAACAATAAAAAGGTATTAGGCAAACATCTTTATAAAAGCACATTGATTATTAAAATTTCTTTATAAATAATAAACTTAACTTTGGTACTTGGCTACAATTAAACAAGTGTCCAGACTTGGGTCAATTGACTTAACCCTTTACCATGTCAAACGACCCACCACACCCCAGGTTATGATGTGCAGATGTAAAAAACATCAACAAACTGTTCCTGTACTTTATTGTATTAAAACATTTGGACTTTCTAATTATATTCTTTAATTATATTCTTTATAGTCAGTATTTCGATTTCTAAAAAATTTAAAAAACTCACAAAATATAGTGATGTAAATTTGCTGGTAAAATTTATTGGTAAATTTAGCGGAATATAAATAAGTGAAACTTTTTTTAAATGAAACTAACTTATAAGAAACCCTTATAATTTATCAAAGAAAGTAATGCCTCATGTAAATAAGTATTTTTTGAGTTGGTTCCTCGTTTCCGACCTAATCAACAAAACTAACATGGTTCAAGCGCATAAACGCTGTCTAAATAAACTCGGGGATTAGAAACGATGTATACAACCTGTTTTTTTTTGTTTTTATATTCTCCTCCCCAATAGTGAGGTTGCTACCACAGTCAAACAGCTAAGTTATTTTTATTTATTAGTTTTTAATATAATTTTTATACAACCCTCTCTTAACTCTTCAACTCCTAAACACAAGCCAAATAAAGCCATTGTGCAGAAAAACAAGTTAAGCGCAGACATATGTTTTATTCTCTTTTTTGCTAACTTTTAGCAAATGAATATTGATGTACACATGAAAGTTTGTTTAATTATGCCTTAAGTACTAAAATTAATTTATCTAAGTCATTTTTATGCTTACGAAAGTTACGGTTTTTCTCATTGTCGCGCTGTAAAAAAAGTATCATTGTGAAATGTTATTTTAACCATGAATTTATTTGCATAATTGGAATCAATTTAGCATGAAAATGGAGCTAACATGTTCAAATTGTTGTTGGTCAGATTTTATACTTAATAAAAAATATATATTTTTAGAAAATAATGAAAGAACTTTTGCGATTTTCATGTAACATAAGTTAACATGAACATAATAAAGTTTTGTTTTTTCTAAAATTTTGTTCAAAAATTTAAGTTTTTTTAATAATATATGCGAATGAATATTAAATGTCACAATTTTTCATTTAATGTTTTGAATAACAATGCTTAGTTAAAACACATTTTTATTTTAAATTTGTGTAATGTAAGTTAAAATTACATGACATGACTAAGTAATTCTTATTTCTTTGTGTTGGTTCGACAAGATTTTAACCTTGAAGAATTTAGATAAAAATTAAATAAAAATTAGGAGAATTTAGATAAAAAATCTTGTATTTTTTTTTCAATGTTAATCAAAATTATTTATATTATTGTTTCTTTTATGTATTCTTATTTTGGTTAATATATAAATATACATAAATAAAAACAAGAATTATATAAAGAGTAAGTGGCATTTTCAGCAATAAGTTCACCCTCTTTCGGTCAGACTCAAAACTTTTTAGCTTATTTTATTTTTTAGACTAATAGCTTTCATACAAAATAGCTAAAGTTTAATTTACAGTTTAAATAGGCAAATAATTGACAAAGTTGTTGCGCGTGTAATTTAAGTTAAAAATGGAATTGCCCATATATATATATATATATATATATATATATATATATATATATATATATATATATATATATATATATATATATATATATATATATATATATATAAAATACTATTAAGTATTATACAATTAAAAAATCATGTTTTAATTAGTAAAGCATAACACAAATTACCTCATTTACTATGTAATCCAGGAGTTCAAAAATTGCCATTGATTTAGTCTCAGTAACACCAGGGGGAGCTTTTGCTCCAGGAGGTAAAACATGTGTACCTTTCTCAGGGTTCATGAATATCTGTATGAAATCTTCTGTTGTAAGACAAGGAATAGGATATCGTCCTAATGCAAGTTCTACAAGGCTCAATCCAATACTCCAAATGTCTGAGCGGATGGAATAATGAGTACCCTGCAGTCGTTCTGGCTAATGATTAAAATATTTTGTCAAATATTTTTAATAAATTGGATTCAATATCTATCCTCCTTATTCATGATTAAACTATTCCTTTTTAATATTCTACAATAAATTGCACAAACACAAACACATAAATAAAACATTTCCTCATAAAGCCAAAATCAAAACAATTTTCATAGCAACAACTATACAAAAGTTATTTTCTGTTTTTAAATCAGGACACAATTATTTATTATATAACTTCTATTTTCTTTTAAAAGTAATTTGTCATTAAAACATCGATTAAAAACTTCTAATATTAATATATTATACAGCCCTCTTTAAAAAAATTAAGAATTAAAAAAAATGAGGTTGCCAATTTGTTAAACTGTTAAAGGTCGGTATCAGGTCGGCAAAAAAATTTGACACAAGTTTCACAATAAAACATAGAAACAAGGTTGGCAACATTTTGCTAACCTAAAACACATTTAGGTTGGCAGTTAGATTGGCATTGCTGAATGCCAATCCTAATTCCATGGGCTAAGTATATAAATATAACTAATACAATATATATTAAAACAATATATAGATAATAATCTAAACTATGATTAAAAAAAAATTACACAACAAAATTGTGGAGTAACTTACTGACATATATGATCGAGTTCCAACAAATGTGTTGGCCATTGAATCAATTAGCTGGCCACTTACACCAAAATCACAGAGTCTAATTTCTCCCAATGAATTGACCAAAATGTTTGATGGCTTAACATCTAAAAGTTACACCCAAATATCTCTACAAATTTTAATTTAAAATTTAAAGCCACTTTTCTTTAATTTATTTTTCAAAAAAACTAACAAAAAAAATCAAAATTTTATTCCAAAATTTTTTTTTTTATTAATCAAAAAAATAACCTCTGTGAATAATGGAATGTTTTTCACGCAAGTAAGCTAGTCCTTTTAAAACCTAAATTTAAATAAAAAAAAGTTATTAAATTAAAAATTATGTGTAAAAAAGAAAATTAAAAAAACTATAAATTAAAAAACATATATGACAAGAGACATAAGAAAAATTTATTCATTTTTTCAAACTAAGTCCATAAGTAAACATTCATTTAAAATATTAATTTATAAGTCTTTAATCACTAGTGTTCACATCTAAAGTGTTAAGTGCATCTGCATCGAAAATTGATAAAACAAACTTACTGCTAGGGTAATAATGCCAAGTATATTTTCAGGTATTCTAAGTGCTTTTTTCAAAATTAAATCAAGTGAACCTCCATCCTAAATAATAAAGAATAATCCGATAATGATTGAGTATATATGTATGTATGCATATATATATATATATATGTATATATATATATATATATACATATATATATATATATACTTATATATATATATATATATATATATATATATATATATATATATATATATATATACATATATATATATATATATATATATATATAATATGTATATATATGTATATATATATATATATATATATACTCTTGCATGTCTCTTGCGTGGCATCAAAAAATGTTTCCCATAAACTGTAGTTTTAAATAGCGCGTTAATAAACCAGACTAGAAAAAGTTTTAAAAATTAAATTTTTTTTTTAAATTGATAGACTGCCTGGCCAAACCAAACCCTCAGTCGATGTAGCAGCACTCTCTTGCGAGTCAGGCTATTTGTCAGTCGTTGTAGCAGCACTCCCTTGCGAGTCAGGCTATTTGTCAGTCGATGTAGCAGCTTTCCCTTGCGAGTCAGGCTATTTGTCAGTCGATGTAGCAGCACTCCGTTGCGAGTCAGGCTATTTGTCAGTCGATGTAGCAGCACTCCGTTGCGAGTCAGGCTATAAGATAGTCGATGTAGCAACATTTACGCATGTTTAAAAAATGTTTTTTATTAAATCAATAACAAAAACACCACTAATTAAAAAAAACTTTCTAGTCGTTATAATTGCGGTTTTTTAAAATTTTTTTAAAAAACAATTAAATTTAATGTACTTCCGCATAAATTAATTGCTTTGACATTTCGATGACAATCAAAAACAGCTTAAGAGACGAGGTAATTAAAATTGTAGTCGTAAGAGACTTTTTTTACATTAAAATGCTCTTAAAGCTACACTATATGGGTATATATATATATATGTATATATATATATATATATATATATATATATATATATATATATATATATATATATATATATATATATATATATATATATATATATATATATCTATATATATATATATATATATATATATATATATATATATATATATATATATATATATATGTATTTATACATGTATAGTCAAAAAAATTTAATTGGATAATAAACAAACAGGGCTTTTGCAACAAAACAAAAAAACTTTTTACGCCTAAAGAATTTTTTCACAGCGCAATAAATGACGCTTGTTATGCATATATTATTGTAACATTAACGTTACAAACATATGCTTGTAACAAGTATAAAACCAAACTTTGTATTTAATAAGCAATTTTTATATAAATAAACAGATAGCTTAAGCAAAAACAAAAGCTCTTATAAAAAGCAGTTTAGAGCAGCTTGCATGACTCACCATGTTCATTTTAGGAGAGATTTTCTTTGCTCTCGTGTCAATTTACTGCCGCTGAGGCCTATATATATATAAATATAGATAGAAATTTGTATATATATATATATAAATATATATATTTCTATTCTAGGGAAAAAATTTGGGCTATTCTAGGGAAAAAATTTGGGTGGCGGTGACCCACACCTCAAAAAAGTGTTTGAGGTTGGCAAAAAATCGCTAACCTTGTTTCTATGTTTCATGGTAATCTCTTTGTGTCAAATTTTTTTTGCTGACCTGATGCCGACCTCAAACAGTTTGAGATTTGCAATTTATTGCCGACCTTATTTTTCCTGATTCTGAGGCTAAGAAGGGCACTTTGTGGTCAAAACCCTTTCTCAACTCTTTGACTTTAAAACAAGAACCTTGACTAACAAGGCCGCTGCACGGAAAAAAATCTTAAGCATGTTACTACCAGGGACATGGTGGGATCAAACTCTGAACTTCTCACCTATGAAGTGAGTCTACCACCACACCACTACCGCATTATATCAAGAAATTTTCAACTTCTAAATTGAAAAGCAAAATTACTTAATGAAAAGCGTCTTCATTATTCTTTAATTTTTAAGAACAAATATTCTGCACAACCAACCACTTCATAACCATATTAAGAGCATTTTTTTTGTTTGGACCTTGAATTTTTTCGTGCTTAAAAACAATTCCAAATTTTTTCATTTGATTAATTTAATTCCAACAACTGTTAGTTGACTTGACTTGCCAATGCAATAATAACTTTTGAAATAAAAAAGAACTATTGTTCTGTTAATTTGTAAATATATTGGCAACCCAGCTAAAATCATTATCTGATGATGATGGGGTTGAGCCATTAATAAATTGGTTATCTGATTGAGAATTCTTAAATTGGTATAATTCCTTTATGAAGCCAAATTAATTAATCAGAATGATACCATTTTCATCAAGATTTTTCACAATATGGTATGAAAGTACTTTTTAAAATACTTTATTAAATATACACATACTGACCTATAACTTTCCATAACGTATAACTGATATATATATATATATATATATATATATATATATATATATATATATATATATATATATATATATATATATATATATATATATATATATATATACCAGGTATACCGGTATGAAGTGAGCGTCAAGATACAAATGTCTCGATAGGGAACATTTGTTGTGAATGAGCCTTTATTTTTTTTTTTGTTTGTTTGCTATGACATCTGTGAAACATATTTAGTATACATCAAGTCATTGAACAGACAACATCATATTTTTTCATCGTGTTAAAAATGTTGAATTTTGTACGGAAAGTGATGATTTGCAGAAAGCATTAATTTTTTGTTTTCATTTGAAGAAAAGTGCTGCAGAGTCGCATCGAATGCTTGTCGAGGCATATGGTGATCATGCTCTATCAGAAGCAACACGCAAAAGATGGTTTCAACGGTTCAGAAATAATGATTTTGATGTGAGAAATGAAAAACGTGGAAGACCACCAAAAAAGTTTGAAGACGCTGAATTGCAAACGATATTGGATGGAGATGACACTTTGAGTCAAAAGCAAATGGCAGAAATGTTAAATGTTGCACAACAAACACTTTCTGACCGTTTAGAAGCTATAGGAAAGATCCAAAAGTGTGGAAAATGGGTGCCACATGAATTGAATGAAAGACAGATGGAAAACCGAAAAAACACTTGTGAAATTTTGCTTCGAAGACACGAAAGAAAATCGGTTTTGCATCGGATTGTTACTGGCGATGAAAAATGGATTTATTTTAAGAATCCTAAACGGAAAAAATCATGGGTTAATCTGGGACAACCATCAACATCGACTGCAAAACCAGATCGATTCGGCAAGAAGACAATGCTGTGTGTTTGGTGGGACCAGAAAGGTGTGGTGTTCCACGAGCTCCTAAAACCTGGTGAAACCGTCAATACTGATCGCTACCGACAACAAATGATCAATTTGAACCATGCATTGATCGAGAAACGACCAGAATGGCCCAGAAGACACGGCAAGGTAATTTTGCTCCATGACAATGCACCTGCACACAAAGCAAAACCGGTTCAGGATACAATCAAAACACTTGGCTGGGAGCTGCTACCCCACCCGCCGTATTCACCAGACTTGGCTCCTTCCGACTACCATTTGTTTTTATCGATGGGACACGCATTGGCTGAGCAGCACTTTGATTCCTACGAGGAGGTCGAAAATTGGGTGTCTGGTTGGTTTGCTTTAAAAAACTAACAATTTTATTGGCGTGGTATCCACAAATTGCCAGAAAGGTGGTCAAAATGCGTAGAAAACAATGGCCAATACTTTGAATAAAATGTTTTATATTTTCCCATTAATAATTAGTGTTTTATTTTCACAAAAAACGCTCATTTCATACCGGTATACCTGGTATATATATATATATATATATATATATATATATATATATATATATATATATATATATATATATATATATATATATATATATATATATATATATATACATCTTGATTAATCAAAACCACAACAAATTTTTTTAAAACCATAAACATTTTATATAATTGATATATATATATATATATATATATATATATATATATATATATATATATATATATATATATATATATATATATATATATATATATATATATATATATATATATATATATAGATGAAACAGAGATACTACTGTATAAAGTCAGAAAAAAAACTATATAACTACTGTACAAAGACATAAAAAAAATATTGCTAAGAAAGGATTAAAACAGGTAAGAGCCATTACATCAGCAAAAAAAGAGACAATTGTAAATCTAGCATGCACAGTAAATACTATCAGAAATAGACCTCCATCTATTTATATTTTTCTTTGAAAAAATTTAGAGATCATTTCCTACACCAACAGGAAGTACAGGAAATGCCAATGCAAGTAGTTAAATATAAGAAGAAAATTTTGTAAAATATCTGCAACATTTTGTACGCAATACAAAATGCACAAAAGAAAAGTCTTGTTTATTGTTGCTTGACAATTATGAAAGCCATCTTAGTATTGATGGATTAGATTTTGCAAAAAATAATGGAAATGTTATGCTAAACTTTCCACCTCATTGCACACACAGGTTGTAGCCCTTGGATAAGGCAGTTTACGGTCCACTCAAAAACTACAAATACTGCTATGACTTCAAGATTGTTAATAAATCCTGGTAATACCATTACAATATATGATATTCCAAAAATAACATTGTATCTCCCACAATATTTTAAGTAGTTTTGCTGTAACAGGTATTTATCCATTAAATGCTCATATTTTTACTGAAATCAAATTTTGCCCTAATATATTCCTATAGTTTGACATTTAACTTGATTGAGGAAACTTACTAAATTTTATCATTTTTTAAAAAACCACAAAAACCCAACTTAATGGAATGTTTTTATTTTTTAAATAAAAATAAAAACATTCTGAATGTTTTTATTTTTATTTTTTTCCTCTTTACATTTATCAGTTGATGTAGCAGCACTCCTCACATGTTGTACCTATTTATCAGTTTATGCACTCCTCACATGTTGTACCTATTTGTCAGTCGTTGTAACAGCACTCATTGGATGTTCTAAATATTTAATAGCCAATGTAGCACATGTTTTCATTTTTATTCAAAAAATAAAAAACATTCAAAACAAAAACACGTGTATCACGTTGCGTATTTGTTGTTTTTAAAAAAGTATAAAATTTTTATGTTTCCTCAATTAAATTTAATAGTTTTTACCATTAAATTTAAGTTTAATCAATTTTATCATTTTTAAAAACAAAGAATCTTTAAGAGCTATTTTTTACCACAAATGGTAACTTTAGAAGTCAAACTAAAAGAATATATAGAAGCGGAAAAAAATTATAAATACATGACGTAAAAAATTAGAAAAATAAATTTTATTAGAATTAAAAAAAAATAAAGTTAGAAAAATAAACTTAATTCACAATAATAATTAATATTACTTTTTTTGTTTTTATAAGGTTTAGTGTTAATACTCAGGCTTCGGCAGGAATAAAAACCGTACGGGCTATGAAAAGCCCGTCTTAAATAGACTTGGCAGGCTATGAGGGCCGCCCGTCTAGATGGTCTTGCACGGGCTTTTTTAAACTTTAAAAAAAATTCTAAAGTTTGAACTTTTTTTTTTTTAAATTTGTTAATTTCTCTTCTTCTTTTTGAATAAAAATGTCATTGAATATTAAACATTTTGTGAATTGCACTAAAATAATATGTTAGAAAGCGATTAACTGTTTAAAATGCTTAATTACTTAAGTAATTAAAACACTGCAGTAAATGAGTTGGATAATACTTAAAACTAAGATTTCAATAACTGTTTTTCAAAGTTTTCACTTGCACAGATCTAATTTCGTTTCACGTGGGTTAGTTGTTTTATGGTTGCTTTTGTTTAGATTTCTTACTCGAAGGAACTTTATTCAGTTTTTTATGTTTTTTTTTTTAATCTTTATTCCAGATAATATCTGGCAGATATAGTCAAACGAATGAACGTGAAAACGACGGGAAAAATCCTCGAAACAACCATGGCGTTTCATCACGTTTCCTTATTCAAGCATCCTAACGTGTTTTTTTACCGAAGTCTTTTTGAGTATATTTATATATTATTGTTTTATTCAAGAATTCGATTAAATTATACAGGTTTTTATCGTGCTTTTTTAGTTCATTCGTTTCTCTTATTCTTTGTGAATAAAAATATTACATAATATTTTCAAAATCTAATTTTTTTAATTATTCAGCAAATAGTTTGAAACCTTTTTTTTTTTTTAACCTTGAATCAATGAGCTTGGTAGTTTTAGAATTGTTTGGTATTAGCTTGGTAATATGATACGTAACTGTTATTTTTCAAATTGAATTATTTATATACTCTTGCACTCTATTGGGCGTGCTAATTAAAAACTTAAACTGTTATTTATATTTTTATAACTTTGCTTTACCTATGCCTATCCTGATCGGAAATAGTTATTCTGATACGTGAATAAAAAATTTGAAATCTAATTTCTTTTAATAAAATAAGTTTTTATTTAGAAGTACTAATAATTTCTTAAGATACCGGGGCTTCCGTTACCTTATATACAATATAAGCATGTATATAAGCGTATGTATGTTGCTAGCTTTAACGTTCGTAGTGCCCTCTATAAATGCTAATGCTTTTGATTTTGCCAGACCTTTTAACTCGCGAAGCAATTCTTTTTTATATTATATACAAACCATACACCATATCTTCACAACAAAAATTGTTCCATTCTCCACCTCAGTTTCTTTTCCACAGACTCCATCTTTACCCCAACTCAAAAATGTTGCTAGTGTAACTCTTCTACCAGATGATGCCATTATTATCTTTACTGAAAAACTTGAATAACTTGAAAAACTTGAATGACTGGATAACTTGAATAACTTCATGACTATAAAGCAACGCTATTTATATTATTTACAAAAATTGATTAGACGTTTGTTGATTTTTAATGAGATATTTCATTTTCAATAACGAGTTATATAATTGCATATTAAATAAACCGCCGTCTCTTTAAGAAAAAGCGTGAAGTTAACGCGGAAATATCACTTTAAATGTCTTTAAAGTAAGAAAAACTAGTTTATCGGAAAAAAGCGAAATACATGGATAATTAGTTTATTATCGTTATTATTATAAACATTGAAAAACCAAAACAACATGATACTTCTTGTGCATCACATGTGTATATTTCCCCATTTAATATAATAGTTATTAAATTTTGAACATAATATGGTAACTGTTTGGTATTATATCAAACAGTTATCGTCGTTTAAAAAACTGTAAGATTTAGTTATATTATTTTCTACATCATGTTATACAATAATGATTAAATTGTTTAATTTTTATATTTAAATATAAACGATTATAAGTTGGAGTTTGCTATCCATATTAAAATTATGTCATGAGAGAAGTTTTAAAAGAGTATCTTAATAAAAAAACATCAAAATATTCATCTTTTTTTTTTACACAAAACTTATGTTTCAGACGGGCTTTATTTCGCCCGTCTAAACTGACTTAGACGGGTGCTGAGACGGACACGGGCTATAGCCCGTCATTCCTGCCGAAGCCTGAATACTTATATATTTATTGAGACCTATTTCTCAAATTTCTTATTTCTCATTTAATTATTAAGTCCATTTTCTCTTTTCTTATTTCTCATTAAGTGATTTTTCTAATGTAATTAACAACTTTGTTTAAAGTAGCTGGAAATTTACTGGAAAAAATAATAAAAATACAGAAATTGCAGAAAATGTAGAAATAAAAATACAGATTTTATATTGAAAAATAAAATGTTTATTTTATAACTAGTTTACAAAAATTATAAAACAACAAAACAAAATAATAATAACAAAAAATAACAGAAACAATTTTTTTTTGTGCAAAATGTTCATCTATCACATCATACAATATGAATTAATCCTTAAATTTTATATTAGATTTAAATCTGGCAATTGTGCCAGTCAATCCGTTTGTTTATGCTAATATATTTCAAGAAATAAGGAAGCATTATTTCTTGAAGTATATTAGCATAAACATCTGATGTCATAGTGGCTGTGTTATAATGGCTTGTTGTTGTTAGAAGATTGGACAAAAACCAAATGACAAGAGACATCTGCGCATCATAATGCTACCTGCACCAAATTTTACTGTATGTTTAGTGTAATGTGGTCAAACTCTTTATTTAGTAGTTTGCAAAAACTGCTTACCATTAGATTCAAAAATATTAAATTTAGATTTGTCTGTCCACAAAACTGTGCCCCATTTCTTATTTTTTCTTGCAGAACATTTATAAGAAAGTTCTTTTATATGTTGTTTTTTCAATTAAGTTACACTTCTAGATGATCTCAAAAAAAAAAAAAACTTGCGTTAAGTAAAAATCGTATGTGAAATTAGATTTAACTCTCTAAGTTTTTTAAAATGGTGTTGCTGAAGATAAACGGATCCTTTTTAGTTTCATAAATAAATAATTTATCTTTTCGACCTCTAGTTTTCACACATTTTTGTGGTTTAAAAGCTTCAAACCATTCCAACAGAATGCTCAGTTCTTGAAATCTCTCTATATGTAACTTTTTACTGTTTTTAAGTTTTTGAATTATGTATGTATGCATGTATGTACATACATTTTATTAAGCATGTTTATTCAAAGTTGCTTTTATTAATTATTATTAAAACAAAAATTTTACTTAATATATATATATATATATATATATATATATATATATATATATATATATATATATATATATATATATATATAACTAGATGAAATATATATATATATATATATACATATAACTAGATGAAAAAAACCTCACCATGTATTCCATACACAAAGATATTTCTCCATCATTGTAGAATGCTCCATAAAAACCAACAATATAAGGAGAATTACATTCATGCAATACTTTTAATTCTCTCATTATTTGGTTTCGAATTGCTGGTTTTATCTCAAGTCGAATAAGCTAAATACAACAATCAAATCAACACTTTATGTCAACAATCAAATGAACACTTTACGTTTCTGTTATCATAAACCTATCTATTATGAACTATTATCATGTTTATTTTGAAACTTATAAAATATAACTAATTTTAATTTAATTTATTAAAATAAAATAAATTAAAAATATAATAAATAATATTTAAACTTATTTTTTTTATTAAAAGCTTCATAAATTCATAAAAACCAATTTTGTAAAACATTTAAATTTTTTGAGATTTAAAAAGGCAAATAAATATCAACGTTAATGGAATGAATTTTTTGAAATGCAGTAAATTCATACTTTTATATTGATGACAAACCAAGTTTTTATTTCCAATCACTATTGATTCTCACCAGCTCATATGCAACTTAAATGCTTTAAATGTATTTGTACATACTAATAAGTACATTTACTCTAAAAACCAAAATAAGGCTTGGATTTATAAAAATATAATTTTAGTTATCACCCAAGAATTGCTTGTGATATAAGGGGAGGGGGGAGGGTTTCCAAATTTAATTTCTTTTATTTTAACAAGTTTTATAAATTAAATAAGTTTATTTAAAATCATTATTTATTTAAAATTATTATTATTATTACAAAAATATATTTATTTAATTCAAATAGTTTTAATATTTGTATAATATTTTAAAATAATCTTTCAGATTAAAAGAAATACATATCAGTGACATCAGTAAATTTTCAGCATCTCTGGGATTTTTTTTGAAACCTTTATTACAATTTTTTATTATCTCTCATTGTTTAAATATCTTGTGTGGTATCAATTTCCTTGCATATGAAAGCTTTTAAAATACAAATAAATCTGTCAATAAACACAACTCTGGTTTTATGATTTTATTTATATATGAGAGTGGTATGAAAAGTTTCCAACCTCAATGTGAAGATTGCAGCACTCCTAATAAAAAGCTAGTGAATTTTGTTGTTCATCTGTTGACAGTTACTCGCAAAATTTTCATATTGGACGCACAGTTGCTATTTAACAGTCAATTGAGTGAGTTGATGTGAGTACTTTTGTGAAAAAGGACAGTATCAAATATTGAGCTGTCATTAAATGTTTTTGAAAAGCATGGTGTATTTGTATGGGGACTCAGCTCCATCATTTACCACAATGAAATCTTAGGCAGTTGAATTTAAACATGGCCATAAGAGACTGGGAGACGATGAATGTTCTAGACATCTAAAAACTGCAAATATCGCCAAAAACAACACTGAAGTTCACTAAATGGTACTAGAAAACCATCAAATTAAGGTGTGAGAGATTTTTATAGACATGTAAAAAAACCTGTTTGTCACATATTAAATCACCATTTAGACATAATAAAGCTGCGTGCATGTACGGTTTCCTGTTTGCTAACATTAGACCAGAAAAGTGTTTGAATTAACATTTCCAATGCTCTGTTGGCGCAGTTTAAGCACAATAAATTCAAGTTTTGGTGCTAATTAATTACTGTAGATGAAACTTGGATACATCATTATACACCCAAAAATACAGTTTAAAATGTAGACTGCACAGAGGGAACCAGCTCCAAAAAAAAAGAAAGTGTTTTTCCAGCTGAGAATGTGATAGCAACTGTTTTTTATAGGGATAGTAATGGAGCTATTTTAATTGATTATCTTCAAAAAGGTAAAACCATTAGAAGATCATACAACACATCATTAGTTGACAAGCTGCAGGTAGAACTTGTAGAAAAACACCCACATTAGCAGAAAAAGAAATTCCTATTTCACCAAGACAATGCACTCTCTCACTCCTTAGTCATTAGCATGGCAAAATTTATGAATTATGCTTTCAACTGCTTGACCATCTGCCATACCAGATCTAACCACAAGAGACTTTTTTTTGTTTCCTTATCTAAAAATTGTGCTCAGATGGCAGAGGTTTTTGTCAAATGAAGAGCAATCATCTTCATAAACAATTATTTTGCATAGAAAACTGCCAAGTACTACCTGGACGGGTTACAGAGATAAGAGCACTTCTGGGAAAAGTGTGTAGAGTTACTAGGAGACTATGTCAAAAAATGAAGAATAAATGACTTGAATCTTTGTTAGGTCAGAAACATTTAGACCACCCTCATATACACACTTTTTTATTTTTTACTCTTGACCTCTAAAAAAAAAAAACCCGCTCAAAAAATACTTTAAAAAAATTTCAAACTTGTTGCTACAGAGAGAGAAAACCATTCCTGAAATGTATGTAATATTGGCATATTGTAATAAACATTTTACATAAACCAGAGCCTGATTAAAAGGGGGAGGGGACAAAGATTCAGAGACCATTCACTTTAGAGTCCATGAAAGCAGTCTGAGAACTTCTTTTTTAATATAACTATACTTTAAAAGTTTATTAGACAATATTATATTAATTATACATAATATAATATACATTGATTATAAAATATTTACCATTAAATGATTACATTTTAGCTTTATAGATTTTTTTAAATGTTTTCAGTAAAAATATAAGTATTTAAGTTTATCACCTTTCTAGCCATGATTAGACCTGTTGGTTTGTGATTCACTTTAAGCACAACTCCACCATTTCCAGCACCAATTTCTTGTATCCGCTCAAAGTCTTCATCTTTTAATTCACTTTTTATTTTTTGTTTATCACGAAGAAATTCTTCAAGACGCGACTTCTGGTCTTCACTTAAATTTTCAAGACTCAAATCGCCAAGCTTTAAATCAGCAATAACGTCTTCTTTGTGAGGTGCATCACTTTAAGGAAAAAAAAATTACGATGGAGATTATTATCATATGGATAAGTGACAATGCAATTCAAATGTTCAATATTGTTCTATATGTAACAACTTTGTTTATTTAAACACCCTTTGTTCGTTATTGTAACTTTTTTGCTCCTTATTGCAATAGCGCATTTCTTTTAGCAGCTTAACTAATTACTGTTTAAAAAATATTTAAACTTTTTAAATAGTAATTTCTTTTTCAACCTGTACAAAATTTATTTGTTTAAAATATGTAAAGCAGAGATAGAAATGTATTTTTATAATGAATTTGACTCTAAATATACTAGTACATACTAATAAGTACATATACTCTAAAAGCCAAAATAAGGCTTGAATTTATAAAAATATAGTTTGAACTATCATCCAAGAAATGCTTGTGATACAAGGGAGGGGAATGAAACAACAAATCTATTTTTTCTTTTGAATATAATCTCCCTTAAATTGGATGCACTTATTAGATTTGTGATTAATTTTTCTATATGCCATCATAAATTTTTTTTTAAATTTTCTTTAAAATGAGCCAAAATTGCCTTATTTACCTAATTTTCATCGTAAAACTTCTTTCCCCTTAAGTCTTTTTTCAAATTGAGGAAGAAATAAAAATCATTTGGTGTCAGATCTAGACTGTAGGGTGAGTCCACTAGTGATTCGAAGCCATATGTGTGTAGAGCAGCAATTGCAACTTTGCTCTTGTGAACCTGCATGTTGTCGTGCAAGAGCAACGCACCCTTCAATTTTCCTCAATATTTTTATTTGATGGCCTCTTTTAATTTTTCTAATATCTTTGTTTAGTATTCTCTGATTATGCTCCTTCCTTTTTCTGTCTAGTCAATAAGTAACATCCCTTCACAAACCCCAAAAAAGAAGCCATCAACTTTCCAGCCAACTCTGACACTCAAGATTTCTTTGGCAGTGGTGTCCCCTTTTTATGCCATTGCATGTACTCTTGTTTAGACTTTTTCAAAGTTTCAAAGTGATAAACCCATGCTTCATCTCCGGTAACAAAATCTGTGCAGGTTCATCTCCACACAACCCCTAAAATTGTTTTGCTACATCGACGCGCTGCTGTTTTTTGAGTCATTGGAGTATAGTGGTATCTGATACTCTAACTAATGCAAATAACTGTTTTTTCTTTAAAAGAGTGTCTCCAGTCTAATATGGTGGCCTTAACTGGCCTTCCTGAGTGGTCTTCATCTTTAATTGACTCCCGACCACATTTAAAAAGACCATGCCACTTGTAAAACATTGATTTACTAGGGCACTGCTCCCCATAAATGATTTCCATTTCATTTTAAATAGTCTGAGCGTTCTTTCTTTGTGTCATACTAATTAGTGACTATTCATCCCTCCACCCAACAAACATTTAGACCCCCCCTTGTACACAACACAGGCCTTGTTATGAGATTTTGATGTGTAACGGAAAAGCGCAACCTGAATTAATGTAATTTTATTAAAAAAAGATATTTACGTCATTAAAAGTTTAATTGCGTCCGTTGCGTATTTTAAAATACCTCATTGTAATTCAATTCAAAAACACAGAAATTATTGTAAGTCTTTTAAATAAAATATCTTTAAATTAATCAATATTGTTATAAAAAAAGTTATAAATTAAATTTAAATGTTGATTAAAAAATAACTTCCTTGTTTAAAAAATCTTATACTTATTTACAGTTTAAATTTTAAACTTAATTTTTTTACTTTAAAACATTCTTTTTACAGCTATTTTTTTAAATGAGTGGACACTTGTTTATGGTTGATTTTCTTAAAGGGATTTATGTGTACACAGTTATATTGGGTTTTCCCCTTTTTAAAAAGCTTTTGCATTAACTGGCTCTTGATTAAATTAAAAATTGTAATTAAACGAATAACACCGCTTTTCAGCTTTGCTTTTTTTTTATTTCCATTAAATTATTTTATTTTTATGTACCGTAAAACCTAAAGTACTTTTACTATTTCTTACTAAATCTAAAAAAAAAAATAGTATTTTAGGTTACAAGATGTTATAAGCAGAACTTGTTTTAAACAAATATCAGTATAATTCTAAAATTTACGTATCTTATATCTATAGCACTTGTATTAGTTTTGTTTTTAAAACAAAATAAATATAAGTTAGGCTTTTAAAGAGTTTATTTATTGATTGCGTTATTTTTAATTGGTTTAAAGTTTGGTTCATTTTATAAAAAAAATTCTACTGAATAAAACTTAACGGCAAAGGGAAAACCCAAACAACATTTAAACTTACATTTGAAAAAACTTTTTTGTATGACGTCATTTATTAACTACAAAAGCAACCAGTATTTGGAACTTACCTGAAACTTAACTGAAATTTAAATAAAGTTATATGTAATGCGAACATTTGAAAGTTTCTTGAATTAAATTTATTAAATTTTTTTTTTACTTTAACATAAATTTTGCAAATTTTATCATTAAAAAAAATGCTAAAACGGAGCGTTTTTGAATTTTTAAAAGAATTTTAATTAAATTTAATCAAATAAATTACTAAAACTATGAATAATAATAAAATTAATTCAAATTTAATAAAATAAATTATAAAATTTCTGTTTAAAAACGGAAAATACAAAAAAGGTATTTATTTGTTTTTTTATCTAATGAAAAAAAATTCCACAAAAGCTTTTTTACAACAATTAATTACAGTTTAATGTTTTCCGCTGTTTCTGTTTTAAAAGACTGTTTAAAATAAACTTATTGAAAAAAGTAACATAAATTGAAAAAGGCGTATGTGAAATTGTGAATACGTACATAAAACTCAAATAGGGAAACGCTTCTTAACAAGACCTGCAACAGAAGCTATCTGGTAGTGGGTGATGAGAATGAACAAACTATATTGGAAGTATTTAGCTAATGAAATTTTTTAAATAAGTAAAAAAAAACATTTTTTACTTTTAAGATAATAATGTTTATATTTAAATAAAATTATATAACTAAATAATTTCACTATTTCTGCTTGTATTAGCTATGATATATTAGCTTAATCAAATTTAATAAAGCCAATATACTCAGGCCCAGTTTAAATCTTTATTTTTAAAGGTAGTAACATAGTAACTTATATATTTCAATTGCTTCACATGATTTTCTAATGTAATAATTTGGGATGACAGAAAGTGTATTGGTATTTCAATTATGATAAAGAATTTGAGGGGCAGAAAATGTTAATTTATTTACTTGATAAAACATTTATGATAAAGAGTTTTTGTTGAAAATAAAACCTGATTAATAAAACAGTTTGCATATTGTTAAAAATATATATAATACTGAAAAAAATAAACTTTTTATATCTGTTTTAAAGCTGATTTTTTAAATTTTTTTTTCTGGGTTTTTGAATCTATTGATATTAAGAAAGTCCAGATACAAATGCATTCAATCAATACACCAGGTCCAGCATCTAATATTAGAGGTTACAAACCTCAGAGTTTGTTAAAAATTGTTTAAGTAGACAACACTTCTTTACAAACAGGGTTGTCTTTGGATGAAATAGTTTATCGTAATCGGTAGTGGAGTCTACATCAGTCAAAAAATTTAAATCCAATCTTGAACTGATTGACTTACAAATAATATTAAACAAGAAAAACAAATTACAATTAAATTTTTGGAAAATTATTGTATAGTCTGTCATAGATATTGCCTGGCGCTTTCAACAGCATTTGAATTTTAACTGAAGTAAAACATGAACTTTTAAAACTTTAAAAAAAAAAAATACTTTTAAACTATTAACTGTCATTAACTTTAAATTAGAACACAGGTTTCCATTTATACAATTGATTTAAAGGGTTTTAAAGTTATACTGTTAATAAATAGAATAGAATGCTTACTAGTTTCAAAACATTCTCATTAAAAGGTAAATAGAAAATTAGAATAAGAAAATTAAAACTTAACAGAATTTTAAAAAGTGATTTTAAATTGTTTTAAATCCTGAGATTTTGAAAAAAAAACACATAAGATTTCTATGACTTATTGTTTTTAATATTCCACACAGTGTATATTCAAATATTCATAACAAATTTTTTTTAAGTTATCTAAATTAAATTACATTAAGTTATCTAAATTAAAAACGTTTCTGCAGTTTAAAATGTCTGCAATCACACAAGTTTAAATTAAAAAGGAAACAAGATTATGTTGCCAACTTTTATCAAATTAGAGGTGGAACAGGTTACAAAACAGAAGTTACCAATGGTATTATAGAAATATATTAAAAAATTTTTTACAAAATAGAAAAAGGTTTTAAAAATTTTTAATGGGGTATTAATAAAAGCTGCATGCGTTTATTGATGGGACAAACTTTGTAAGAAACAATGTAACTTAAAGTCATTTATTACATGAGAAACTATCAAGTGACAGATGCTCAATGTATACTGATAGAACAAGTATGAAACAAGGTTTTGTTATAAGGTAACAAGTTAATAATGATTTATTGGTTTATAATTAATATAATTAACAAAAACAAAACAAAAAAACAATCTGAAAAAAAGCAACAGAATAACTAAATAGCTTGATTGATAAAGGATTGACTTTATTCATAAAAAATTAATTAAGTCAATTCAGTCAAATCAGCAGATGTAGTTTCATCACATACAACAATGGCATAAGCTACTCTTTTTTAATGGGGTAAATTAAAATCCCTGTGCACTACTCTTTTTGTAAAATATTTTCTTCTTTAAAAGAAAATATCTTACAAAGTTATTATTAAATCAACTTTATTAGGAAACTATGGCAACTGGTCAAAAGAGAAAATAATCCTGTTTAAAAAGGGAGCATTTATTGTCAACATAAATCAGTCACCTCTATTTAAATAGAGGCGACTGATTCATGCGAGGTATCTAACAACAGGGAGTGTCTAGCACTTCAAGATATTAATTTCATAACATTTATCAACAAATAATTAAAACGTATATAAAATATTTTATATACCAAAGTATATAAAATAAAAACTATCAATAAGTGCTGTCACTATCATTTTGCAAAGCCAAAGATTGCTTTTGAGAACATTATGTCAAATGTCAATAATCATGCTCTTAACAACAAATTTTAGTCTTTCGAGTACAAAGTATAGTCCCGGGCAATTTTCTTCAACATAACTTTTGTGTATGTTTACATAGAGAACATTAAACATTAATATGTATGTTTATAGTGACTATCCAGATTTTAAAATAAAAAAGTTATGTTTTAAATAAAACTAATATAATATTCCTTTAAAAAAACAATTATTGTTTGAAATTAACAAAATTTTATATAACATTAAAACTTTGTTAAATTAACTTGCGAAAGTATGTAAACAAGGCTTTTGCAAGTTAATTTAACAAAGTTGGAACTACTCAGGCTAAACTCTCTAATAACTATTCTGCTTTATTTAATTGAATAAATTCTCACTCAAAACCAAAAATATTCTTTAATAACAAAACTTTAGCTTGTTTAGGAAAAAATATCTTTAAACTCAAAATAGTAAAAATAGAAAGCAAGATATCCTAACAGGTGAATATCTGGCTCTAATGCTAATAGGTATTACTTCATTTATTTAAAAAGTTTAATACCACATTTTGCAATAAAATTTCTTTATTTTGTATAAACAAAATATACATACTAAGCAGGCTTTGGAACTTCATTTTCTTCCACTGTGTTCAGTGATTTCAAAGGTGCAATTTTCAAATTTAGTTTATTTTTTTTCCCTGCAGGTGCAGCCATAAGCAATTTTTTTCAAATACTAGGCTTGCTTGTGTTAGTATTAATCTAAAAAGATCATAAAATATGTAAAAATGTATTACTCAACTGCTTCATTAGATGATTATATATATATATATATATATATATATATATATATATATATATATATATATATATATATATATATATATATATGTATATATATATATATATATATATATATATATATATATATATATATATATATATATATATATATATCAGGCCTTATTTTAAAGCGTTACGCCTAGAGCGATTTACGTACGCCTTAAGCGCTTTTTACGTACGCGTAGAGCTGTTTTGGTTAAGCTACTTTTTATCATTTTTTAACTTTTAAATTAGCGGTAACATAAAAGAAGTAATTAATTTTCAAAAAAACCACATTAACTTTTAAATAACGATATGTAAAGGTATTTATTTAAAAAAAAAATTTACTTTAAAATTAATTGTTGTAACTTTTCATCGCGATATATCTTTCCTTTTTATAGCAATTAATTTGACGCTAAACTTTTTATCCAAATATTTAGCAACATGAAAAAGTGTTTGTCAATCCTTAACTACAAATTTTTTGCAATGCTTTTAATAAAAAGTAGTAAAGTTTTTAGTAAAAAACTTTTAAAAAATCTATATTCCATATTTATTAATACAGAATATAAAAGATTTTTGTAATA